AGCTTGCCTGCAAGAGTATACAGGGTGTTTCCGAACTTGGCGTCAAAATTTGTAGGGGTGGTAATTCGCATAATTTGAGAGCGATAGGCAGATTTCATTTTTCTAAAAAACTTATAATAAACGCAATAGAGCCATTATAAAAAAATCAAAGAGCAGGTCCTACCCTGAGCGCGTAGCGCAATTGTCCTCAAAAACAGATGCGATTTGCAATTTTGTCGATTCTAAGCGTAGCGCGCGCGAGTCGAGGCGCTCCTATCGCTGTGCAGGACCGTACTGGTTTATAATTTTTAATTATTTTTATTTTAAATATTTTGGAAAAATGAAATCTGCGAATCGGTCTCAAATTATGCGAACCTAAAATAGGTACTAATTATGTAATTTCGCGTAATATTCTAATTCAAATTTCACATTACTATCAAGTTTCAAAATTCCCTACTTCGATACGGTCAGATAAAACTTGATTATATTAATAAAAACTCTCAAAATATTACTTCTACAAATCTGTATTCCAATGAATAAGAATACAACTAAAAAAAAACAATATTGTTAAAATAAAAGCACAAGTGCCCGATGCTTTATAATAATCCAGAATACCATCGAGTTCCCAGACCTCGGCGAAGCATTCATTTACGCAAATAGTACCACTTGATTTTCATCCACAAAAGTCGTTAACAATTGAAGCCCTTAGGACCGATTCCACCGTTGCGTTAAACGAAGTTTAAACTGACATTTTTACATTAACAATGTCATTTTAATCTCCGTTTAACACAACGGTGGAATCGACCCTTCGTGTAAAAAGCCACAATTTGTCGTGAAGTGACTGTTTTAGCTCAAAACATCTGTTAACAAGGATATTACTAGCCGCACATATAAATTATTTTACCTCTAATCCGAAAGATGTGCTATTTTTCGTAATATTCATATTTGACAGAATTAAAACTTAATTTCTCAAAACTTACTTAATGTGGCATGTAACCAACCTTATTACGCCAAGGTCTTCAATTATTTAAATAATATATATATATTTTTTAATCCGGGCCCGAATTTTCCGTCGAATCTAACAGAGATAAGCACCATTCCGTCTTGCTTGGTTCTCGACCGCCAAATCAAAGGCGCCGACACGGAGTTGTATTGTATAAGCTGTGAAAATACCTCGGTATCATAAATAATCCAAATTTGAAATGGCCATTATATCCTACCTCTATTTTATATAATAAAAAAGTGCTTTGTATAAAAACATTATATTATCTGTCTTGCTGTTCTTTTATTTATGGAAAGCCTGAATTAAGATATTTATTATTTGCAATATCAAGAGAAGTACATTTTAAATAATTTGACATTTAAGAGCCATTTACATATCACAGTTGACATCTTGATACTTGAAAGGCACAGCCAAGAATAATTTTGATTTTTGTCAAATAAAATGGCCGGTTAATTATTCTATGGGGTTGCGTCAGAGAACTAGTAAATTTGATGGTGTTTTTGTGGCTAGGGGCGAAATAGTAGTACGCTTAATAGCACCACAATAAAAAGTCATTTTTAAGAAACTGCTTATATATTTTTCATAAATTGGCAGGCTTGGCAACTAATTTCCAATGAAAATAGCCTCCAAACTGGCTATATGGTTGCAAGTATGAGGGTCGCAACCCGCCTTAGAAATTTCGCCTTTACTATCAACAGCTGTTGTTTGACAGGTCGTTAGAGAATGTTTGCAATTTATGGAATGTGAAGAATGTTAGGAATATTGACGTTAGAAATAATTGAAATTCCTAAAATTGTCACATAAGGAATGCATAGGCGGATTTTAAGAAAATTGTTATTAAAGTAGTTAGGATAATTCTGAAAATCAATAGGGTTCTAAGTTAGAAGTAATTATTTAAGAAAATCAAAACCGCAAGTCAATCAGAACTTTCGTTCTAGAGTTATCGTGCCGGCATACATACATACAGACGACCAGACGAAACATTTTTTTTTTGGATTTACGGATTCAGAATGATCAGAAACATGAAAAAAAGTTTTAAAAAATGAGTCAGAAATTTTTTTCGTCTGCACGAATGCAATACTGAGGCCCCATAGGAAGGGCCTCAGTAAGAAATGAAAAACTAGGACATCTGGCTTTATAATTTAAATCATGCATAATTTTTAAATAGGGTTCGGCAGATGGTGTTTTGTCGAAATTAAAAACATTGTGATTTCATTTACCTGCAACCACTTTCATAGGATGATAAAGGTAAAATAATATTAGACACAAAAAATGTTTTTCATTAGTTTATTTATTTTAAATACAACAAATAATAAGATGAACAACTTTTTTTATTATAACCTGTAGGGGTTATATTATGATAAATAAAATGTATTTTAAATAGATAAACAGCAAGTCGTTTTTTTTGCATATTTTTTCCAAAATGAAAAAAATATTACTGCTTTTATCGGAATTGAACTCGGGTCGCAAAAACCAAAGTTAAGCGCTTAACGACCTGAGCCATGAAGGTTTAAGTCAAATTTGTGCCATTAGCATTTTCTTCAGCAGCTTTTTCAAGATACCGACATCGAACGCTTATCCGCCTGCTGCAAAGTATTTCCATCTTCTATAAGGCAAGAATGAACGATACATTTGCCAGTGCCCCTATGGGTCATCCCCTACCATAAAAATGTGAGAACAGATATGAATATTTCTGGAAAACTCTTTTAAATGTGACCTGCCAGTGCCACGTTCTCTTAATAAAAGAACTAAACTTTTACCTGGTTAAAATTTGGATTCATCTAAGAAGGAATAGAATAATCTTTTAGATGACGTACATAATATTTATCAAAACAGTTTTCCTCAAAATGTCTAGAACACAGTACACTCTTTATTTTGAAGGTTTCCATTCATACAAATGCAATCCATAAATCCCGCATTACAAAGTTCTTTGGAAATCTATAATTCATGACATTATATGTTTAACGTGTTGTAGAAATTAAAACAAGTCATTGGGAAATCTAAGTCAAGAATTGTATCTTTCGCGCTGTTAGAATTAAAAACAAATTTTTAAATGTACACGAATAACATAAAATATTATCTTTAAAGCACCAATGATTTATATAGGCAAAATTACTAACAAGTAAGATTGATTCACTTAGGACCGATTCCACCGTTGTGTTAAACGAAGTTTAAAATGACATTTTTACATTAACAATGTCATTTTAATCTCCGTTTAACACAATGGTGGAATCGGCCCTAAGGCCATTAAAAATGTAATTTTAAGCTTGGCTTATTTATTAACGACTATCGGAGAAAATGGCACTCATCTTATTAGAAACGTAATTTATGATTAAGAAACGAACATTGTAACAACAATCACGAATACGGTCCATGTAATTGTTTACAATAGGTCTTTTTGTTTGGATCGAAAGTGTAGCACCTTCTGAAAATATCGTCGTTTCATGTATACAATTTGTATAAATGGAACGATGTTTTTAGAAGTGGTGTAGCTCAGTGCTACACTTTCGATGCAAAGGAAAGGACCTAAAATTTTCAATAAATTCCGAAACCTACTCATGCTAGGTTGGAAGTGGCAACAGGGCTTACACCGGCATGGATAATTACGTTGTTTATTATAACCGCACAGCGTCTTACACATTTATTCATTAAAATAAGTTGTATCTCCGTAAAATTCTTCTCTTTATCCCCTTTCTTACTTTTCACCTTTCGTCTCGGCATCGTGAATATTACATTTTATCAATGAATGGTTATATCTCTGAGTAGGACAGATGTGTCCGATGTGGATAAACAAACGCTTGAGATGTAAATATTTTTTAATTAAAAAACCGACTTCAAAATCGTGCAGATGCCCTTAAAAATTGAGATTTTTTATTTTCTCTGAGATCATCAGATCCTGACTAATTGTATACGGAACTACCTCTGACGGCCTGAGGTATCCCCTTCCTAACAAAAAAAAAAAAGAATCATAGAAATCGAACAACCTGGTAAAGAATTAACGCTGAAAATACATAAAAAATGAAGAGTTTGATGATTTTCTCATAGACTCCCATCATTAGATCTTGACCAAATTTATATGGGACCACCCCCGAGGTATCCCCTTTCTAACAAATCAGACAACTTAGCAAAGAATTATCGCTGATAATACATAAAAAATATTCCAATGAATTAATTCTAAGTCTCTTCAGTATATTAATTGAAGCCCTTGGTGTAAAAAGGATGCAAGCCATAATTTGTCTTGAAGTGACTGTTTTAGCTCATAACATCTGTTAACAAGGATATTACTATATAGCCACATACAAATTATTTTACCTCTAATCTGAAAGACTATTTTTCGTAATATTTATATTTAAATAATTTTATTTATATTTGACAGATTTAAAACTCAATTTCTCAAAACTTTTTCACCTCTGAGTAAAGTTGAAAGTAACTACTTGCTGATTAGACTGTAGGGTTACTTGACAGATTAGCGAAATATAGCCAGTCTATAAACAGTCTAATGAACAAGTAGTTACTTTCTAGAGGTGAAAAGACTGGCATGTAACCTTATTACGCCAAGGTCTTCAATTGACGAAAATTTTACTGTTGGCGATTCAAGCTACAAATGGTGGGAAATTTTAAAACTATTTTTAATAGATTTTCTGAAAAATGTCGATGGAACTGCATGGCCATTCTTAACTGTTAAAAAGGAAAGAGCTTGTCAAATCGGCACCAATTTAAATATTACTACAAATGTCGGCCATTTTGAGCTACATTCCCATACAAACCTAACTGGCCTCTGGGGTTAAAATTCACTCATAAAAGAGTAAATTATGGAGAGTATTATGTAGTAATCAAAGTTTCAAAAGTAGGCCTTAAAAAAATTGACGCATGTCAAAGCATACAATTTCCATTTTTTAAGTGTCAGTTTGGATTTATTTCAGAGCCGTGCGCAGTTATGTATTTTTTAATCTCTTTTTACTTCGATAGTGTTGGTGTAAATTTTGTCGGGTTTGTAGGATTTGAAATAAAAAATTAATTGTAATGAAAATTTCTTTAAAGTACACATACAAAAAAAAACTATGTCACAGCAGGAGTAAAATGATAAAATGAATAAACTTAGCTATAGATCAAGGCGAACTAAATCATGATCATACCATTAGGGATCATTCAATAAAATTTAATTTATAATAATTAGATATCGATTAACAAATATAGACTTACAATCCTGCACAGGTAACAGCAACATAATCAATAAAGTAGTAGTAGTAATAAGCGGTACACAGCTTGTAAATGCTAGTTTATGTTTTAAAGCTTGAATCATACAGTATACAAGGTGGTCACTTATTCTAAATGAATCTATTTAAAAGTATATAGAATACACAAACAATTTGTCATAAAATGTACAAAAATTAAAAGTCTCCAAAAAGAAAAACAAACAAAAATGTGATGAGTTTCAGAAAAAGATAGAATACTAATATTTAAGTAAGATACCAATAGAAGCCCTGTGAAAAAGTGACCACCCTATATACAAAAATCCCACCGTTTTTAAAGCAGCAAATATATGAAGATTAACTCAAAATTAAAGTGAACTGTAAGCTGTTACATGTCTCTTACAATTACCCTAACTAATATAACTAAATATATCTTAGCTATATAGCTTATAAAGCTGTACACCTTAATGATCTTTGCTGCAACTCTGATGATAATATTAAGACAGAACTGAAAATGTTAGGTAGTAAAAATATCGACATATAGAAAAAAAGTTACAACAAAAGATAATGAGGATATTCGCTGACTTGACAATGAGGTTAGAAGCAACTACCCTCGGGCGGCTGTGTTAGCTTCATGTTTTCTTTTAATGTCATTAATCGACGTAATTCCTGTAAGACAGTTTTAATGGTATAATCTCTTTGCCACCTACACAATACTGGGACTTGCCTATTGTCAACCTAAAACAAAATAAGTTCATTCCATTACATCAAGTCTTGAAGGAATAGGGATCAATATATTTTAGAAGTTTAAAAATTGTACCTAAACTATTTTTAAGAAAAGAAGACAGTGAACGTCATTTCTCTTGTCGACGGATAAACACGAAAAAACTAAGAGCAAATTATTTAAACTTAACGTGCAGGGGAAACTAACTTTTAAAGGTTGACAACACGAGGTTGCCGATATGACAGCGAAAATACTTGATTCATCAATCAACATAAGTTTGCAGGTTAGGTCGTTTTGTTTGATTTGTTGTTTTCAGTTTTCTTTAAAATTTACAAGCAACAGTATTTTTCATTACTAATTGATTGTGTCAATTTTCAGTGTGAAAATTCAAAAACATTTTAAATGCCTAAACCTTTAACCAGCAAATGTCAAGAAATGGTAACAGCTCTGTTAAACTATTTTCATCGAGAATGTGAAAATGAAGAGCTTCCACTTACTTCCATAAGAGACGTAAGTAATCATACTTACATCCAATAATTTTTTTTAATATGTAATAACATGCTGAATGAAACTTGAGCACCTATGATATATAAAGTATATAAATATTATATATTTCAGAGAGTTGTAGATGTTGTACAACTAAGTCTTACAATGGTGAATCATATTGCAGCCAAGCATAACAGAGGTTAAGTTCCAAAAAGCCCACCAAAGAAGCGAACACATTCAAAAGCTATTGTTAGAATTGATGTCTGATCAAAATGCTTTCCGAAAAGTTATTTATGAAATGTACAGAAACAGTGTGTATCAAACATACTATAATCACATCATTTAACATAAATATTGTTTTCAGAGGAACACATAACCTTACAAATATTAAAACAAAAACTTCAGGAGCGTGAACTTTGAAAGGTTCTATATAATAACTATGGAGAATTAAAAAAAAAATTGGTTTTAAATACAATACATGTTGTGGTTTAATGGAGTTACCACATATTGCTTTTAAATGTATAGATTTTTTACACAAATATGTTAAAATCAAAAGGGAAGGCTTGTATCAGTTTGTTTTTTGGATGAGACATGGATATTTAAAGATGGGACAGTTGGACGTTCCTGGCAAAACTCTGATAAGAGAACTGTGAGGAAAACCAAAGTTGGTGGTGCAAGATACTTAAGCATAATTGACAAGCCACATTTTTTAAAATAAAGGCATTTTTACTTCATGACAATAATAAATAAGGTTACAAAAGCCATAAACTAAATGGAAATTTACCAACAAATACCATCATTAGCCGAAAAATGAATTTATTGCCTTTTAACAAAGTTGTAGTAGTTTTAGAAGTTTGTTTTAACTATTTAAGACATATTTGCTTAATAAATTAATGTTGTGACTTGTCATGTTATTATAATAAGACAGCCATTCAATTATATTTAAATCTAGTATTTAGTTTAAAATATGATTTTTCCATTTTTTTTTTAATTTAGTGATGGCATATTGTTAAATTTTTGGTACAAGGCTTTATTTTGTTATTTTAAGTATATAGTACTATATGCAGTTACATCTTCTGGATTTGTTTCTGGATCAGAGTTGGTATTTTCTACTAAGACACGAGATGGTGATTACCATGGTGAAATGAAAAGAGAAAACTTTTTTCATTGGTTTAAACATCAGATTTTAATGAACTTAGAAAACCCTTCTACAATTATTATGGATAGTACGGTGGTCAATAAAGTGCCGACAACAGCTGCCGAAAATGCTGATATAGAGAACTAGTTAACTTGGTCAAAACACTGTTATTAAATTTGGTACAAATGTAAGTTATCGTAAAAATTTCTAAGTGTATTATATTAATATTAAACTAATCCATATTAGAGTTTAAATCATTAAATTAATAACGTTAAAAAAGAAATTGAATAACAGAAAAACTCTACTTTTTCCAAACATTTTATAGCTGTTATTAAATCATTTACTGTAACAACAGGTGATAAGGTGTCCCCAAAAATAAAAAAAAATAAATGTTCTACAAAATTAAGCATTTGAAGAAACAAACCACCAGAAGTATATGAAGCTGATATATTATGGCAAAAAAGTATGGACATAAGGTACTTTGACTACCTCCGTACCATTGTATACTCAATTCTATTGAACATATTTGGGGCACAACTAAAAATTATTATAGCAATAATATTTTAGAAAAAGTACTCCTGATATTTGGCTAAGAACAGTTCAAGACACTGAAAAAATAACACAGGATTGGTGGGATAGGGAAGTGGTATTATTAATTTTGATGAGGATTCCCTAGAAGATTAGTGAGCATTCTATAAAAATCAGCTTTGAGAGAGCAAGAAAAGTTCATAATTATCATGTTCATTACTATCTCTTAGTTAGAAATAACCAAATATAACAATAACAGAGGCTGGCAGTCTCTACAGCATGTAACAAAATTATAATGTCAATCATGAGAAAATTGTATCTTGTTGGTAGTAAACCTGAGCCAAGCACCAAAAAAGCGATAATTAAAAAAATATATTAATTTTTTTTTTGAATAATCGAAAATTTTTAAATTGGTATGATTTCATATATTTAAATAAAAATTACAAAACTACATAACTATTAATTTTAATTTGAATCTTAAAATACTTTTCTTACTATTGAAAATAGTTTATAGTAAATATTTTATTGTTCTATAGACTAGCACTTTAAAGTTCATAGCACATTAAAAGTAAAAAAAAAAACAAAAGAAACGTTTGGTAGTAATAACCAAGAAAGACCATGGCATAACAACCCAGAAACGAATAATTATGCAGAAAGAACACTGCCACAATGTTATCTTTATTTGAAGAAAAAAAATTCTGATAATGCCACAGGTTTTTTATCAAGTGAAGTCTGCCATCTTATCATAAGAATACTTTATAAACATGATATCCTTTAAAATATGCTTCAGCAGAGGAAATTTTATCAGAAAGCCAGGTGTCAGTAATAATTAGTCCTTTTAGTTTTTGATTGGCCAACGTTTTGGTAAAAAACATGTAATTATGATAAAGTTACGTTTTATTAAAAAAAAAAAAAAATATATATATATAAAACTGACACCATAAATATAAGATATGACTAGTAAGAGCATAGAATATAGGTACTTAGTTCATCATTATATCTTAAATTATTGTAATTTGGTACTCAGTCGAGTAGAGATAAACTTCACCTAGGATTTAAAAATAAAGCTTTTATTATTATCATTAACAATTTTTAGAAACCTGTTGCCAGTTTCAATAAAAATCAAACTTATAATTCATACATAAAGTTTCAGTACCTATCAAAATAGAGAGTACTATATAAAAACTTACCACTCCAGTATTACTGTTGATACAATTAATATTAATTCTAGAAATGAATTTTGCTGTTGGTGCATCATCAGGGTACTTTTGGCCACATTCTATTTTAACAGAGTACATTCTATTTTCATACGGTGTACGAGGTGGGCCAATTATCATGCCCATCCAATGTGTGAGAGTCATATCATCATCGTTTTCTAATCCCCAACTGATTGTACCATCAGAAACACCCTTTTGGCCAGCTTCTAACTCCTCTAGCAATCGAAAATTTCTAGGAACGACTGTAAAACGTGATTATATCATTTAGAATGATGAAAATCGGCAAAACTTCGTGCACTTACCAACACCAGTTGACGGGGTCGCCATTATAAAATATTTACACAAAATTACTTTTCGAGAGTTTTCAAATATGTAGCCCACCTATTGTTTTCCAGATTATTAACAGAAAAAAAATTAAATATTATTTGAAGTTATTTAATGGAAAACACTACAATAAATGCACCAAATACCAAATATAAAGGCAAAATCTACAGCCTTCAAGAACAGATAATTGATGAGTGATAGAACATGAACAGAACAGAATTGACAATTGACAGAGTTACAGTTTTGCATCAAAAATTGTACTAAACTAGTTTTTTTAAACCAACTGGTTTTAATTTTACTAATCTAGGACGTTTCAAAAGAATCAAAATTATATTAATTTAGGCCTATTTTTGTTTAGGTTTGTTCTGATCTTCAAATAATATGTTTATTTTGCGAAAATATCAGATTACTTTAATAAAATCGTACTAGATTATGTTTTGAACAAACGCAATGACTTTGGACAACTCAACATAGCAATTTTTTTACAAGAGTCTTTTGAATCGATTATGTTCAAAAATCGAAATTATACCGATGACTCCAAAAATGCACAAGAAAATATTGTGAGGAGCCAATCCACAACAAGAAATCATTATTATCCTCTTATTTTTATTAAAGTATCGTTGAATCTGCAGAACTAGGAGTTAACTCGGGGTAAAGAATCAATCCGTTGAACAAATTTCATTTATTGTCAACTGTCACCTGTCAATGATCTGTCCTGTCATTTGTCATTCTCCTTTCTCGTTCATCGTGGATTCATGTTGATGTTCACTTTCACGAGTAATTTTTTTAATAATTCTAGACTGTTAATTTGTCATTTCGAAAATGGTCAGTTCATAAATATTCCTTTTTTCTTTCTTACCAATAAACTGTTTTTCATTTTAGCCTAAGCATAAAATTAATAAAAAAGAGGCAGTTACCTTTCAACTTGTCCATAGAAGTCAGCAGGATCCTTTAATTGCTGATGAAGATGCTCCACAAAGGGTACTTATACCGGTTAAACAAAACGAGACCAAAGGAAAAAGCAGACCTTCGGCGAAAAATGAATTTCCACAGGAAAATGAGGATTATTCTGACGAGGAAGACTTGAACCCTAAGAAATCAAAAGAAGTTAAATTTAAAGTGGAATTGCCATCTGTAGTATTTCCTTCTGAAGTTGAGGAAGAAGTGGGTATGCTAGGAAAAGCAGCTCCAGTCTCAGGTGAGTTTATTGTTATAACAAACCTGATACGCCACCTTTTATCCCTAAATTTCAAAAATGTATTAATCTAGTTAAAATATCTAAGGTACTGTCAGATTATCTATTAAAACAACTCCAGGACCAAATGGTATACCTAACATTTTCTTCAAAAATATATCTATACTCTGATTGAACCATCTTATATTTATTTATTTAACAGATTTGGATATACCATTTTATAAAAAAAAAGAATATGCATGAGAATATTAAAAGAGATAATATAGATATCAAACAGCATTGGATAATACAATAATTAATAAAGAAAACAAAAGGATACTAAAAGCTTAAATTAAAAAAGAAAATAATACATGTAAGTTTACTTAAAAATGTAAGTTTTCAATTTGGCACTTAAAACACATTGAAGACAAAGGCGAGTCAAATGTTTCTATGTTAGCACTTTGATTATTCGCAATCCTAAGTATTTTTCTAAGAGTATTTTGTGCATCCTCTGTAGAGTGGTACGAAATATAGGTAAAATATTTCAGATATACGTGTCCTGTTTATGTTAAAATTTACTATCCTCGACAAATCAGGACAGCAAATTGTACCATTTAGTAACTTGTGAAGAGAGCAGACAACTAATTTCGTTCTGCAATGCTCAAGAGAATTCAAATTAAGCCTTAACAAAACGTCATTATTGTTACTTGCTGCAGGAATACCCATCTTATATGCAGCATATTTAAACATTTATGTTGAACACTTTAAATTATATTAACAATATATTATTATATCAATTGAAAATGATTGGAAGATCTCTTGATGAAGCCTAACATGTTCAATGCCTTTGAATTAATTAAGGAATAATGAGATTGGAATGATATTTATTATCTAATGTAACACCAAGATCTTTAATAGTGTTTTCTGTATGAAGTGGATTTTTGTCTAGTGTGTAATTGAGCTGAACTGTATTGTTATTTCTGTGAAACGTGATTTAGTGACATTTCTTTGGGTTTAACCTAAGTAGATGTATTTTACACCATCTAATGAGGTTATCTATATCAAATTGAAGCAATCTGGCATCCTCAATGGTTTTTAAAGACCTATAAAGTTTAAAATTGGCTGCAAAAATTGCTTTATGTATAATTTAATGGAATCTGTAACTGTCCTAACATTCTGGAGCAAATATATCTCAGAATTCCTTCTAGGCTTTGAGAGCAAATAATTCGTTTTTTAACCCTATGTATTCTACAAACTACGACAAACACTCAGCTATTATCAGAACACTTAACATCCTAAATGATTGTAATAACATTGATATTTCCAATGACTCCTACAATTTGTATAAGGTTGGACTTTTTGACCAGCACTCCTAGGATAAATTTAGACATAAAATGAAACAACTGTAATTTTTTAAACTGTATTCCACTTTCTCATTAGTCATGTCTTATTTAACAATGTAATAAATAAACATTTTCACTAATTTTTAAAAATAAGATCAACTTTTTTTAATTTGAAATATATTTAAACTATATCTTCTCTCAGAGTTGTTATATTTCATTTTTCTTTAACAGGGTTACAGTTACATTTAGACCCTGATGTAGTAGCAGCCATGGATGAAGATTTCGATTACTCTGATCCTGAAAATGAGCTAGAAGATAATTTTATTGAATTAGCTAATGGAGTAGGCGATTCAACTGAAGAATTTGATGAAAATATTTTTACTGATTCAGAAGATGATAGTTTTGATGATGATGATGACAGGTGGACTTTCGATAAAGAGAAACCTAAATCTAGGTTTGCTCATACTATGGATTCAATTACAAGTTGTTCTACTATTAGAAGAAATGATAATTTGCGTCTGCTTGATGAAAAATTTGAGAAGGTAGTTGATTATATTGATAATAAAAAACTTAACTCACAAGTGTCTTATTTTAGATGTTTATTGGATATGAAGAAAACGAAATTGGTGCTTTAGATTTGGAAGAAATTGAAGGTGATGTATCATCAAATATACTACTCGATTCTGCTTTAGAAGAATTTAATAAAACCGAAACTAATTTCGAAAATGACAAAAATATAAATAAAAATTTAGCAGCAATAGAAGAAATTTCTGATGATGAAGATATTGATAAAAAATTGATGATAGTTCAGAGTTCGAAACGCAAATGGGATTGTGAAAGTATTTTAAGTACATATTCGAATATTTATAATCATCCTAAAAAAATAGTTGAAGGAAATGGTAATAAGATTCGTATAAACAAGAAAACAGGCATTCCGAGCAATGTATTTGATAAACACGGTCTAACAACTAAAACTTTAGACAAATTGAACCAACAAAATGAAGAAATTAAATCAAAATCGATACCAGATCATACGTCTCAATTGTCCATGTTATCACAACGCCCTAAAGATGAAACTGCAGAAGATAAAAGAATTAGAAAACAGAAACTCAAAGACTACAGAAAAGAAAGAAGGGTCGAAAAGAAAATTAACACTTTAGCTTTTAAAGACGAATCTAAAAAGCAAGTTAAAATAGCTATAAACAATAGAAATAATGTACAAGGAAATAAACTTTTATAAGAAATACAATTATTTTGTTGTTTATTTTGCTCTTTACAAATTTGTATTCCTTATTCTAAATTTTGTAACATTATGGCGCCCAACGTAAAATTAAGGGTAAATAATATTAGATTGACAAATCATGATACAATAAGTCATAGAATTCACTGTTAAGGTAGTTCACTCGCGACAGTGGTATACAAAATATCGCCCTATAGTGAATACCAACCGTTCGAGATTCTTAAATCTAAAGAAAGGCTATTTTTGTAACACAACACATGTGATCCTATATAGGTACAAATATGTCATATCGCGTAAAATCCATCCGGCAACGTCGTGAAACATCAACTGTATTCCTAAAGTGAAATAAATGTAAATATCAAAATGTTTCATTGGCAGGTTCAATTGCGAGATAAAGGAAAATTTGTTAAGCAGAACGTCCTCAACAAACGCAAAAAATCAATTTTGGCTATGAATAATGCCAAAAAATTGAGAAAGGAAACCCCCAAAAACCTGTGCGGTAGTCGACGCATCGTGGAATTACAGGATAACATTTAAAATGTTGCAGGTGTGAAAGAGTTCTTTTTATTGAAAATATTACAAATGAAACATGAAAGGGCCTTTATTCAATTTTAAATGTTAAACGTAATATTGAAACCATAGTACCTACGGGCAAAGTTCATAGAACAGAAAGTGAAGTTAAGCATTCAGATGTCAACACTAAAGCAGTTCTAGGTAAATTTAAAAAAAAATACATAAGTATTTGTTATGTTTATAATTTTTTATTATAATTAATATATTTTTATTTATTTAAAGGTGCTGTCCATTCAGGGTTTGGTCAAACTGCTTTAAATAAATTTCTTGCTGTCATGAACGTTCCTACGATATCATCAATACTACAGAAAATCATTACATTTATTTGTATTTTTTTATAACTTCCTCATATTAGTAAGTTAAAATTTTAAATTACTTTATATTCATTTTTTTTTTGTGTAACGAAGGCATGTTTAAATAAAATTATATTTATCTTTTGCATATTTATTTAATTTTGAAGACATGTTTAAATACAATTAAATTTAAATCGTTAAATCATATCAACCTAAAGTATAAACAACGTCCCTTCCCCAGAAGGCCTCGATAAAGTGATAAACTTGACCTGTCCGCGGCAATAAAAAGGTTGGGAAGCACTGATCTAACAGACATTTGAATTAGCGGGCGTTGAAATCGTACATCGTCTAACGTCGTTTCAGTTTGGCAGACTTCGGCACGGTGTTTGTGTGCGTGCGACTAGACGTATGCGTGTAGACTAGCTGCTAACTGATTCTATCTCTTTTAGACACAATTTCGGAAAAATTGAATTTGAAAATTAATAATGATTCACAAGAATCCACAACAAAATATGGGACCACCATTGACGCGGTATTTTTCAGATATTTAGAGGATATCAAGTCTCAAACTTATGTTTCTTATTTCAGTTACCATAAACCTATAGTTTCAATGATAAAAATTCCTGAATAACCTACATGTATTGTAAGATAATAAAAATATTTTAAACAATATTAACTTCTCATTTATTCAATAAGAGAAAAAAAATTGTTTTCTTATCGGTCACCACGCTCAAAAAGTGTAACTTGAATTAATATCAAAGAAAAAAAATACTGCATAAATAAAATAAATAAATAATTATAATTGCATAAGTTGATAAAGAATGCTATGCAATAGCTTTACCGCGGCAGTCCCCGAGTGCCACACGTATTTTTATTTTAAATTCACACTATTGTGATTTTATAAACCATTAGGAATACAAAGTGGGTTAAATGGGAAAAAAATATTCCAAATTTCTGCTGTTTCAAAATTAAAGAAATTTTATCCAGTTTCCAAGATATTTGAAAATTAACTTAAAATGAAAAAAATATATTATTACAAAATTTATTTTGTTTGCAAGTGCAATATAGATATATTTATGTTAATGGATTGTGGTGCATTGGATTATATTAATTTAATTAGCTTTCACATGAAGTATCGCACTTTGCAATACGTAACAGTTTTTATCCCACTAGTGGGCGCTAAAATCAGAGTTAACGCAATAGTCATTGCTGAATTTCTTGTGAAATTACTTTTTTGATATCATACTTCTTGAAACTTTAGTGAGAGGAGAATGCCATATGACAGTTAAGGATATGATAGAAAAGTGTCACCCTTGAAATAAAAATCGACCAGATTGTCTATTGTCTTTTTTTTTATTAAAGATATTTCGAGATACGGCTGCTGACAGCCCTTAATCAGACATTAGAAATCCATTATAGGCTTTAAAATTCAGATTACTTTTGTGGCTATTATTAGGTAATACCGTCGAGTGAAAGCCCACTCACGCGACATGTCGCGCGCGACTGATCGCGCGCGGCAATACTTTTGATGTTTTTAAATGACTCAAAGCCCATTAACGCGGTTCTGTCGCGTGGTCATTAACTGGTTGGTTTATCTATTAATAATTGAAAGAAATTGGAGTCAGCAAAAAATTGCATAAAATTACTTGTTGACGTGTCTGGAATACGAGTTATAAGCCAGCAAATATCGGGAAAATTAAAATCTCCAACTGCAATTGCATTTTGGAGTGTTGAAAAGTTATTAAGTTTATCAATTAATAGCTTAGTTGAATCTACGCAGGAATCACCAGGTCTATAGATACAGGCGAAATTAATATTGAAGAGACCTTTAGAAACGTTAAGCAGTAAAATATCTATACCTGCTATTTTTGGGATGTCAGTGGTAATTGAGAAATTTCGGATTATTTCTTCACAAATATATATACAAACTCCGCCACCTGTTTTCAATGGTCTATCAGATCGGAATATGGCGTATCCATGAATAGAAACAAGCGAGTCTGGATCTGATGGTTTTAGCCAGGTTTCCGTGATAAATATTAAATGCGGTTTGAGATCTTGAACATTACATAAAAACTCGTCAAATTTGGCCTCAAGAGAATCCAGGTTAGTATATAAAAATGACCAAGAAGTAATAGTGGCAGAGTTAGACTTGAAAGTTAAAGTTTTTAACAATTTTTGGCACATCTTGCAAATACTTAATGGTTATGTCTGTTTCTCCATTTTGCTTTCTGTTTTCTAGTTTGACCCGTAAATCTTTAATAACTTGAACTTGAATAGACGTTTGATCGGTGATTACTGAAAAGTTTTTAGTTGTGGGGTGTTCAAGTAGTTTCTTTTTATTTCTTAATACAGAGCGGGCATCATATTCATTGGGCAAGACAACTTTAATCATACGTGGGTACTTTGAGTTTGACTGGGGCTTGCCTAGTCGGAAAAACGCTACGGGAATGGAAGAGCAGCCAACAGATTGTAAAACTTGTTTAACTGCAACTTCGTTATGCTTCTTTTTAGTGTCGTTATCACCAGGTGCTTCAGTAATTCCATGCACTATAACATTCTTAGCTTGGTTCATTCTATCAAGTGCTTCATGAGCAATTTTATCGCAAATTGTGGGGTAGTTAAATGTTCAAAGTTGGATAGTTTTTGATTAATTTCACCGAATTTTATTTTCATTTCATCTAGTTCCTTGCTTAGGTCATTTTTAAAAGACGCTAGGAGGGTTTTAATATCCCCAAATTGATCCAGACTAGCGTTACATGCCGAACAAAATATTTTTAAACATTTCGCGCGGTTTCGCGTGACTCGATCTTCTGCTGATAGTCCAGTGCAGGCGAGGTGGATAGGCCGTTTATAGATACTATTTTCGTCCAATTCGCGCAGTTGACTGTGGGCATCGTGATAATAAGTAAACGATGAAATTGAAATAGATTTGTTAACAAATATCAGGTTTTTAGCACAAAAACTAAGATGTACACCTTACCAATTGCACTTTGTAGATGTTTGTAAAATTTGTTGGTAACACAAGACTATAGAACACAGTTCGCACTCACAACAAAAGTTTTTTTTGTTATGTAAGAATTTTCATTTCAATTTAAGTTGTGTGCAGGCCGTTGGAGTCTATGCCGGTCGGCGTAGCCAGGTATGGGTTGATATTTTTTGGTGCTTTTTCATCTTGTTGTATATTCACGGGCTGGCAGGCATGCTCGTGCGCATGAAATTTGTTACTATGAATACCGCTTTGTCTTGCAACAGGGCCTCGTTAGGGTCAATGATATATAGGGTGTACCAATAAAAACTCCCAGGCCGGATATTTTGGTAATATAGATATTTTAATTCTGTAAAAGCCAGTTCACAGAGCAAGAGAGCTTCAGTTTTATATAGATTTTATCAATCTATATAAACTATATATGTTTCATTGGCCCTTTTAAGACAACAGGCCCACAGGTTTGCCATATCATAATCTATCATTACCCACGGGCAGCATTTTGACAGGAGTTCGTTGGAATGCCTAATTGTACTTTTTTCTCCAAATATGACTTTACTAAAAAAAAGTAAATAAGGATATAATTTTTACATAAGAAAGTAAAAAGTTGTAATTATTTATTTATTATTGAAATTTGCTTTTATTTACATAAAGTTTCCTTTTAAATATTTTTTGGTTCACTTAATAGTACATTATTCTGAATCTAATTTATTTTTTTTTTATTTCCAGAGTGGTTTACCAAATCACAATAGTGCGCATTTAAATTATAAACACCCTTTATATACAGGGTGGGCCAACGAAAACTTTATACCCCTATTTTCCGGCTTTAAAACGAAAATCGGGAAAAAAGCTCGAACCCGTCGATTTTTAATTCGAGGGGGAACAACTTGTTTGGTTTTTTTATCCATGTAACTTTAACCCTCTAACAGGGGGAAGCACAACCCCCGGTTTTTGAAAAAGGGCGAGGGGTGTTGCAATACCTCATTTTGAAGATCTGATCGAGTACTATCTGACCCCAAAATTTCGCGTCAAAATTTTTATCGATAACAGCTAAAACAATGTGGAAAAAATGTCTACTTAATAACAAACAAAAAGAATACTTCTGTGATTAGTTTATTAAATGCTGGAAATGGTCACCATTCACTTCCATGCAGTAAAACAATTTTTGTTTACCTTAAGGATAATTATTCTTATCAGACTGGTATTTGAGAAGTATTTATTTTTTATTTTATGGATGCACCATTTACTCGATTTACCTCAGTTCATCGTCAATTTTTAAGAACGTTGCCATTTTTTAGTAGAATTAAAATGGTATATTCCGTGGGGGAAAGGGTGGAAATTATTAAATTGTTTATTAGAAATAACAAGCGACAGCGACCTTATTTAACGAACGTCATCCTGAAAAAAATGTCTCCGCTGCTTACGTTTTGCAACTAGTTTCCAAATTTGATGCCAACAAGATGATCGTACAACCTGTTCGTCAAATTTTGGATGAGAATTTTTCTCAAAGCTGGATTGGAAGAAGGGGGCATATTGAGTGGCCACCCAGGACACCTGATCTGAATCCACTGGACTTTTTTCTAAGGGGTTATCTAAAATCTAAGATTTACACTACCAAGTCCGAATCACTGGATGATTTGCGAAATCATATAATCAATGAATGTCGTCAAATTACACCCAACATGTTACGTAATGTACGGGAACGTTTTGAACAAAACTTATGTTACTGCATGGAAGTGAATGGTGACCAGTTCCAGCATTTAATAAACTAATCACAGAAGTAAGTATTTTTTTTTTTGTTTATTAAGTAGACATTTTTTCCATAATATCTCTTTCACTGTTTTAGCTGTTATCGATAAAAATTTTGACGCGAAATTTTGGGATCAGATAATACTCGATGAGATCTTCAAAATGAGGTATTGCTACACCCCTTACCCCTTTTCAAAAATAGGGTGTTGTGTTTCCCCTGTTAGAAGGTTGAAGTTACATGGATGAAAAAACCAAACAAGTTGTTCCCCCTCGAATCAAAAATCAACGGGTTCGAACTTTTTTCCGATTTTCATTTTAAAGCAGGTAAATTGGGGTGTAAAGTTTTCGTTGGCCCACCCTGTATGTACATGCTATTATCTCCATGGTACAGATTCAAGTTTCCATTTTTGATATCGGCTTCCATTGCATTCTGCCAATACCAATTCAGTTGCTGTATTGGTTTTCCTTTTTACATCCAAACACTTGTTGTTGCTGACGTGACGAATTTCTTGTTTCTAAAATAATCGAATTATTATTGAACAATAATATTTCTAGAGTCAACGTGCAAATTTGTAACTTATTTTCTTTTTGCATAATTCATTTTTAAAGTGTACAAATCCGCATGTTGGATCTTTACGACTATAAGTAACAAAACAAAATACAACAAAAACGAACATAAAAAAATATTTGTACTAAAAAATATATAATATACCCATCCGGCAGAATAAAGATGATATGTTTAATTATATTTGAATGTAAGACGGATAAAGAGATCAATAATTGATTTAACTACGCCCTTTCAATGACAAGGATAGGATATTGCATGTATCGGTCCTAAATTATTCTATTTCTCTCTAATCAATACTATTGTGTTTTTATATCGTTCTACGTTAACGTACTGCATACATATCTGTATCAGAGTCACAAAAATTTGGAAAGCATTACTCATATTTATTTTTTCAAATTCGTCATTACCTTTTGATCATATTCCCATTTCTGCCTTGGAAACTTATAGCATGGTAGTATTCGGACGCCTGAATGGTACGTGGTATTTCTATTTTGGGCATCTAAGCATAACGAATCATCTGTCATAATAAATCCATCGTTAGTCATAACGAACATCTGAATTTCTACAGCATCGCCTAGACATCTGAAATAATAAATAAATAAATAAATAAATAAATAAATAATAAAATATTGGTATATTCTCAAAACACATTAGTGCTAGAACGGTTCTGTCAAGTGAGCACTTTGAAAGCGTAGTCTTATATGGGTGAGCAATCTACATAACGCTAAAGTGAAATACTCCAAGCCCTCTGACAAAAACTCGCGTATCGGAGTCAACACTAATCATTTGTAATTGCTGTGGTGGGAGGTGTTTGTGTGAATGCGTCTTGTTTGTTTTCATTTACGCCGTGACTGGCAGTAGTATTTTATAAACCTTAGAAGTAAATTTCACATACATGAACAAATAATAATGCCGTGACAACAAGAAGAGAAGCAACGACTTCTCATAGGACACAGCTCACCTACTCTGTCAAAAGGAGACCGACTTCTCGTAGGGTGGCGGCTTCGCCGCCACCAGAAAATTTCAATCCATACCTGGCTACGCAGACCGGCATAAACACCAACGGCCTGGACACAGCTCACCTTCTCTGTCAAAAGGAGACCGATGTACAAATGAAACGCGTACGACATGCGCATTACAAATGATTAGTGTTGTCCCCGATACGCGAGTAGGAAGGGGAGGCAATTTTAAATTCAGGTCATATAGTTTTATACACTAAAAGTGAATTCAGTGATAAATACTTCTTATAAAAATATACTTACACATTTATTCTGGCAGTTCCTACCGGTTGATTAGAAAGATTTTTTCGATCAGGTTTTAATAAACACATATTTTTCCCAAGATTCCTTATTCGTCCAAAAAATCTGTCTTCTGTTGGAAAAAAATGTTGCGGCCATACGTTTTCCAAATACCAAGCGAAATTTTTGCAACGTAATTTTTTCTTCAACTCCAACCGTCGAGTGACATTCTGTCGTGATTTTACCAACCTGTTAAAATTCTATTATATATTGTGATAACTCAATTAATAGCTATTTATGTAATAAGAGCGAAAACTGATACTTTGTCGGTTGAGACAGAAAGTTGACCGCGCGACGCGTAGCGGAGCGCGGCAATCTGTCGAAAACGGCAACGAATTTTTCGCTCAAAATGCACACAATATTTTTTCTACGATCACATTATTTTAAGAAATTGATTTAAAAACTAAAAATTTGTCGTAAATAGTGTATAATGTATTGCCTATATATAAGTTAATCATGTAAAACGGAGTTGATATTCAAAGGCAATGTTAACTTGGATAATAAAACAAAAAAAAACATCAAACTACGTACAAATAACTTGAAAATCATTTATTAAAAAGTATTATTATTATTATATTATATCTGTAGTAATCATACAATTTATAGATTTTCGTAATTTTTATTACTGACAACCCTATTTTGATTAGTCATCAAAGTTCAAAAATAATATCCTACAGGGTGAAATTAAAAAGTAATATATACCACACTACTCCTCCCTTTAAAAATAAGTATTTTTCAACAAAAATTTAGCTTTTCGACCAAAACTGGTAACGTATTCTTCAGATTTATCTTGTTTTTTTGGGTTCGTCTTGAACGTTTGTACCAATATTTTGCGAATCTTCTTTAAAATTGTTCTCTATAAACGAAGGTTTCAGTCTTTCAATTATATTTTTTCTTTTGCATTTATTAGCGATGTAAAAACGCCATCTATTCTATTCAAAACCTTATGTGGTCCAATGTATGGTTTTTGTAAAGATTTTCTTACGGCCCTATACAAATGAAGCAACACACAATTCTTTTGGAATGAAAATTCTTCTTGAGGTGTGATTTGATGTTTCAGTGCTTTAATTTGATTCATGGTTTCTCTTAATTTGTTTAGGAATTCCACTTGATTTTCTTTGAAATCTATTTCATTTAAAATTAAGTCACTTGGTACTCTTAATGTGGTACCGTAAACTAATTCGCTACTGGATGCATTTAAATCTTCTTTAGGTGTAGTTCTTAAGCCGAATAAAACAGTTGGAAGCATTTCTGACCATTTTTCAGAAGAATTTAAAACACATTTAAAATAAAGTTTTAGTGTCCTATGAAATCTGTCAATCGTGCCATTAGATCGTGGATGATAGGGAGTTATTCTTAGATTATTAAATTCCATCAATTTAGAAAATTCTCTAAAAAGTTCAGATTCAAATTGTCTTTCTTGATTAGTAGTGACTTTTGAAGGAACTCCGAACCTACAAATTCATCCATTATAAAATTTACGAGCTACGGATTCTGCCGTTATATTGGTGAAAGGAAAAGGTTCAATCCACCTTAAAAATCTATCAATACATATTAAGCAATATATAAAACCATTTGAGGGTGGCAAAGGGCCTATTAAATCTATGTTAACATGTTCAAATCTATTATCTGGCATTTTAAATTCAGCTACAGAATTGATCTTCGATTTTTGGCAAGTTATGCACAATTTCGACCACTTTTTAATATCCATTTCCATTATTGGCCAAACGTATTTACTTTTGATTAATTTAATATTAGCTCTAATTCCTGGGTGTGACAAATTATGATATTTATTAAAAATTTACCTTCTAAAACTAAGTGGAACAAAAGGTCTGACGTTTTTAGTTGATAGATCACAATAAATGTTTTTATTACTATTCGGAATTTGAATTTTTTTTTAAATCTAAAAATGTACTCTCTTTTAATAGCTTTTGCAAATCTTGATCTGCATTTTGTTTTTTCTCCCAATTTTCTAGATTTTCGTGATTATTTAAGTTAATCTCTGATATCCTAGAGAGCGCATCAGCTACTATATTTTGCGATCCCGAAATGTGCCTAATGTTGTTGCAAAATTGACTGATATAATCTATTAATTAGACTTTCTAATTTATTAAAACGTTCATTACTAGCTTCCATGATCGACATTAAACGATTGCATACATTTTCTATATTTTGTATTTAATTTTCTAATATTTTAGTTTCTAAATCCTCATTTGCTGGTAGTTCTAACATTTTCAAAAGTTCTGTGAAGTCGTAGTCGAAAGGATTAATCTTATTTTAATCATACCTTTTTACTATTTCTCTTTCTAACGTTATTTTCATATCCGAAGTAGTCCCACATGTAATTATTCAAAAGTGAACAAGTATTTTGCTTAACTGCTCCTTTGTCAAATTCTGCAGACATTTGACCATGCTTAATGTACAGTATTTTTCCAGTCGGGGTCACCAATTATTATAGAAATCACACAATTTATAGATTTTCGTAATTTTTATTACTGACAACCCTATTTTGATTAGTCATCAAAGTCCAAAAATAATATCCTGCAGAATGAAATTAAAACGTAAGATATTGAAATCACCACATATCTAATTTAAATTAGGCGAGCAACAAAGCTGTCAAGTTTTCCTCTCTTCGCGAGCGACATAGCTGTTACTTAATGTCAGTTCGCGGAAAACGTCAACTTTGCGGTTTTATTTCGAAGCCTACTTTGGAAAGTGATCGTAGAAAATAGTAGTTTATTACAAACTTACCTAGGTTGTTCATTAAATTTGAAAAAGAAAGCTGCCCAATCGTCGAGCCATACCAACGCAACTCTAGCCAAATTCGAAAATAACGTCCTATCCAATCCTCCTGGAAACCCGTAAGGCGACGATTTTCTAAAAATATGACCTACACGCGAACACGGCGATATTTTAATTTTTCCGCCGCATTGCCATATTCTGAAGGACATTTCTAGATTTTCTCCGCCCCAAATTAGCATATCCTCATCGTAGGAACCCATTTCAAAGAAAAAACGTTTGTCTATGGCGAATAATCCGCCGGCCATTACCGGCGAATGAAATGGTTGAGTGATGTTTCGTTTTCTTAATTTTATTTCGCTTTCTCCTAAAGTATACCACCTAAAATAAGAATTATTAAGTACAGCTACATTGAAAATAAAGCAAGTATAAAGCAAATTGTTAGAAAGGGGTTCCGCAAGGATCGGTGTTGGATTCTCTGTCTTCTCCTCTTTATACTTTATATAAATGATCTTTCAAATGCTTTTAGCAATCCTGATGAATTAACACAATGAAGAGGCAGGGCCCAATACAGCTATTTGCCAAAATTACAAATTAAGCCTATAATCTACAAGAAGGAGGTAGCTCCATAAATCAAAATTGTTAAGAAATTAAGAAAAACTATTTTTCGTGAAAATTGTTTTCTTTTTCTGGTTATCTTTTCCGTACTTGCTTTGTGGAAACCCATATGATTATTTATAAGTTTTTATTGTGGAGTTACCTCCTTCTTGCCACCAACAAGAAAAAAAAGTACACAAATTATTTGCTTCTTGCATTTATTGTAAATAAAATACACAACATTAATCATTATTTTAATCTCCAATATCCTCATCCGTCATGTCTGTATTGTTACCATTGCATTGGCTGGATCTTCAGAAACCTGTGGAACATATTGCTTAGCCAACTGCATAACGTTAGAATATTTGGCTTTCTTCAGTCTTAGTTTGGATTGATACCGATTTTGTGGTATTTGAAACTGAAAATTATAACGCTGTATGTTGAAATTCAAATAAACTGGAAAATGTGTAGTTTCGCTACACTGTATTTCATCCATGTGGGCTTCATAGATAAAGATTTTATATTTTGTTATAAAAAAATTTTCTCTTCTCTTGCCAACAACATTTTTTTTAAAATACTGTTGGAAATAGTCCACAAAATTAAATATCATTTGTTGTGTCACTTCAACAGTTTGAAACTTCCGCCTACTTTTTCCATACAGACGAATGTATTCTGAAGGGGTATTATATATTCGTTCCACTTTCCTCAGATGTTTTTCCACTACACCAAATGCTCGGTCGCATGGTAAAAACGAATGGCCTGGCTCAGGAAACCTGTGGATAATTTTTTCAAAACGTCCCATTTTGACAAGGGTAAACAAATACTGCACCATGGTGTGGTTCTCGTTCTGAGCATCGCGGTTATCAGAAAATAAGTACAGAATCTTTACTTCCTTGGACAGAACATTATCAAAGTAGTAGTTTGGAAGGCTTACAGTTTCATTTAGTGTCTTTCGACCTGTCTTCGTCAAACATAAAAAATGGGAGATTTCAGATTTTGAAGAATAAACACAAAAGTTGTAGACCCACAGCTGGCGCATGTCGATAACATCTCCAGAAGGTATTTTTGGCAGCGGTGCATTCTGCTGGTAGTCAAAACATAGTGTTTCAATGGCTGAGTTATTTTTTTGCTTCATCAGACCTAACCTTGCTTAAATGTAGGTCATGCTGTACTTTTTTACGTGTTTTTTCTTCTTCGTCCACAACAACTTTCTTTTCGGTGCTAAACAAGTCACAAATTTTGCACGTATCAGATCTTGAGCTTCCAAATGAGAGATTGAATGCATCCTTCAAGTATCTAAAATAAAAATCGTAGGTCACTTTTGGCTTAAACTCTGCTTTCTTTTCCTTCATGCCAAAAATTCGGAACATTTCTTTTTCATATTTATCTAAATAAAGCTCATACATTTTTCTTATATTTAATTCTGATCATAAGTAATACTTTTTGTGATTTTTGTTCCTACTGTAGTGCGACGTTCGTCGCGGAACTCTTTATGTGGGAATCAACTTGCTGGACAATTTTAGGTGGAATTGCATTTACTCTATTATGGTATTTGCCTCGCTTTTATTTCGGAGATGTTAAACAGTCATCCTGTTTTAGGCACATCGCTAGGCGTTCCACTCTTTTTGTCGAAATGCCATGCAAAGCACAAAAAGCCTTTTTGCATACTATATTTGACTGTTTACCAAGGCGCACCTGTAAATAAAAGTAAAATGCAGAATAAATAAAAAAAGATAAAAGAAAAAGGTTTTATGAAACTTACAGTATACTTGTTGCTGACTGTCCTTGAATGACCGCTGCCATCCTTTGTCCGTACTCTAGATACCGGAAATACTGAAATTAAACCCGAAAGATACGTATCTTGTAGGATTTTATCACCAATTTCATTGAACTTTTTGAATATACATGCTCTGTCCTCTTCTGTCACCCTTTCAAAATACTTGTACTTGAATTTGCAGTCGTTTCCTGTCTTCCGAGCCTCCTTCATTTTTTTAAACACTATTTAAATGCTTTTCTACCTTAGCTAACATACTTTTGCGTTTATTTCTCTGCCACTGTGAACTATCCACGACTCGTCTATTCTTTTTAACCCCAGTTCTAGGTGCATTTTCTGCTTCAATTGCATCATTTTCGTCACTTTCTGTAATTTGTAATCATCACTTGATCCACTGCTAAATGGCTTATCAATTTCACTTGTGTCACTCATGTTTATGAACCACATACTTTGATTTTCTTTTACTATACGGAGAATGGTCGCACTGCGCAGCTTTCTGAGTGCCTTTTAAAAGGAGATAGAAAACTCCGCCATTTTGAACCCTTATTACGTGTTGCCTTCATCTTGGCGCAATATTTTTAATAGGTGCGTTTTAATCATCCGCTTCTGCTTCGGAATTGTCGGTTTTCTTGTTTTAATCTGACAGGTTAAAACGACTAAACCGACAATTCCGGAAGCAGAAGCGGATGATTAAAACGCACCTTATATTTTGCTTGCTGCTGTCAGTGTCAGTAAATATTATTGTTGAAGTCACAGTTTATTGCTAAAGAATCAGTTAGCTCACTCGGACCAGTTGAAAATTCCAAAATAACATCCACTCCAGGGATACAAATTCAGGATACGCAGAAGACTGCTGTTTTATTATAGGCGGTTGTCATATATTGTATTATCCGAGTTGCACAGTGTATAAACTGAAACATTGAGATCCAAAGTGCCGACGCAGAGTGAGCGATCTGATTCTTTAGCTGTAAACTGTGTCACAGGGTTCAAAATGGCCGCGCCCTATGTTGGGCGTGTCGGACACATACTTTGATTACTATACGGGACAAGAGAGAGGTCCGACACGCCCAACATAGGGTGCGGCCATTTTGAACCCTATGACACAGTTTATAGCTAAAGAATCAGATCGCTCACTCTGCGTCGGCACTTTTTATCTCAATGTTCCAGTTTATACACTGCGCAACTCAGATAATACAATATATGACAACCGCCTATAATAAAACAGCAGTCTTCTGCGTATCCTGAATTTGTATCCCTGGAGTGGATGTTATTTTGGAACTTTCAACTGGTCCGAGTGAGCTAACTGATTCTTTAGCAATAAACTGTGACTCCAAAAATAATATTCACTGACTCTGACAGCAGCAAGCAAAATATCAGGTGCGTTTTAATCATCCGCTTCTGCTTCCGGAATTGTCGGTTCAGTCGTTCTAACCTGTCAGATTAAAACAAGAAAACCGACAATTCCGAAGCAGAAGCGGATGATTAAAACGCACCTATTAAAAATATTGCGCCAAGATGTAGGCAACACGTAATAAGGGTTGAAAATGGCGGAGTTTTCTATCTCCTTTTAAAAGGCACTCAGAAAGCTGCGCAGTGCGACCATTCTCCGTATAGTAAAAGAAAATCAAAGTATGTGGTGTCGGACCTCTCTCTTGCCTCGTATAGTAATCAAAGTATGTGTTATGAACTAATAATTTATAACAAATGATAATTATTCACTGTGAAATTATGGTCTGAAAACTAACCACGTGCCACCTGCCAGATAATAACTTTTAGGTTAGGTGAAATATACTGTTGTCAAAACGGTTTGAACTGCTTGTTTGGTGCAAGAAAGTGGCAGCTACAGGAGCTACCGCTTTGTTGCACCAAACTATTGCGGAGGTAAGTCCAAAACTAGACATGCTGCAACCATTTATACAGTTAGAAGCCTCCTTCTTGCACCAATCGAAAGAACTTCGAAAATTGCATAAGGTAGCAACATAACCAATTTGGAGCTACCTCCTTCTTGCAGCAAGATCCTCAATTGGTTTGTTACAAATCAGATTGTACAAAATAAAACCGAATCAAACTATATCTTATTTAATACTAGCCCTTTTAATAACAAGTTCTTAGGTGTAAATAGATGCCAAGTTTCTCTGGAATAAACATATAAACCAGCTTTAATCCAGGCTAAATTCAGTAGTTGGTATTTGTAAAATAAAAATTATTAAATAATTGAGCTAATTAATGTCATATTTAAGAAACAGGAAAGAATTATTGTCAAAGGAAAAGAAGCTCGTTTAAATGAAAGTAATGTAGATACCGATTTCTGCAGGGAAACGTATTGGCACCACTGATATTTTTTGTATTCATAAATGATTTTACCAAAATACATAGATTCAGATTAAATTGTTCTATGGGCAGATTATCTTTCAAAAAAAATTGAATTTTCATTACGAAATGACTTAATATTAAATTCTAACAAATCGTATTACTGAAATTTAACATTACAAATAACATTGAGGAAATAATAACAGGGACAACAGATATTCTAAATACGACATTATCAGAGTCTACAAATTTTCTGGGTATATTTCTTGATAAAAATTACGAAAAATATATAGGTCGAAAGGTCGAATTTGAGGAATTTTAACAGAAAAAAATCTTTCTTTTTTATCTAAACAAAAATTCTCTAATTTGCATATTGTGGAAGATATTGGCGGGAAACCAGTTTTAGGGACCATTTTGGGCCCTTTCCGATGCAGCAGAGTTGGTAAAAGTTTTCGCCCTTGAAAGCAACCGTCAAGACCTAAGAATTGAGCCACAAAGGAAATCTGGACCGACTTAATGACAGCTTTGCATATTTTCAGGTCTTAAGTTACTGGACTATTATTTAAAAAAGGCTACTCATAATTTTTTTACCTGAATTGAAGATTCCAATTGAAAGCTCCCCAATGGAGTTCGAAACTTTTGACGTACGCGAAAGTATCGTCATTGATAATATCTATGGTAGGACAAATTACAGTTCTCTTATCATTATTTATCACAGATAGAAGCGGTTCTAACCAACCGATCGTACATTCGCAGTGCGCGTCTAAAAAAGTAAGCACTTCTCCCTTGGCCAGTGCGGCACCCTTTAATCTGGCTTTGATCAACCCTATTCTAACGCTGCTTCTTATTATTAACACGTTTACGGGCAGGCTTCTGATGTAATCTTCCAAAGGTTTCTTCAGAAAATCTGAAATGTACAATAATTTATGATAACTGTGTGTAAACCATCTGTCAAGTCGATTATTAAATTTACATAAAATTTTTACATTTTAGGCTCAGGCCCCTTTTGAGAAATGTTTCTGGGACGTTTCGTAATATTTATACATTACAAATATTTCAATGTAACATTTTTGAAATATTTCCGAAATATTTTTGAGCTGTACGGCTATTAGAATCATACATCTAGTATGTTGTGTTATGTTGGGAATGGGGTGTTAATAGACTGCGACCTAAAAGATCTATTATGTCCCCTTCTGTTGCTAATCAGCAAGGAAATGTCTCAAAGCCTATAACGACCCATCTAATCTTCTTCTTCCATTTGATATGCTCCTAGGTATAGCGCCCTTGGATTATGGAGTGCTACACATTCAATCCGAATGTGAATGGAGGTTTCGTCCTTCTCCTCACAGAATCTACTACTCTCAGTTTACTAGGTTGTCCTTTGAGTCGGCAATGCCCAGTAAGGATCCGTGTTACAATACGTACCCTGTTCTTGCTCAGGCAGATACAGGTTGCCGATCTTTTCTGGTTATATTTACCCCGAAGTATCTTAGTCTATCTTAGCCCCAAGAGATTGTTCCAATTATCGGTTCGTCTACTGCCCAATTCTCTCCTAATATTGTGCTACTGCTGATACCGCAGAACGGCCTAGGTCCCACAAAGACCGTTTGAGTCGCTTTCCTTGCGAGACTGACTGCAATCTCGTTACCCCGTTATGTCTTAGGACCCAAATGAGAGTAACTGTATTTTCTTCGCCTAGCTCATTAACAAATTGTTAAATAGTAGTCGAACGCATAGAGCGATTGCAGGCGTCGAACGTTAACCGAGGTGTCGTGGATTCGATTCTCGGTTAGATCAAGCTATTTTAAATTAATAAAAAATAATGGTGTATGGCCGGTTGTGAAATAAATAAATGAATTATTAATAATCTGAAATGATGTGTGGCGAGTTGTGGTTGTGCATTGGAGATATAGTAATGTCAAAAGATCTGATTGTCAATTTTCACCATATTTTGAGCCATTCGAATAAAAAATTGGTAATTAATAGAAGTGTGAAAAAAAATATTTTTAATTTAATTCTAGGAATAATAAAAATATCGCGAAGAACTTATAGATCAAAAGAGGGGAGTAAAAAACTAACCTCTCTCACTTGCGTCATCCACTAATATTATTTCTTCTATTAATTCTTTGGGTGACCTATTTATAACACTCCATACTGTTCTTAATAATGTAGACCAAGCTTCATTATGAAAAACGATTATGATGCTAGTCTTCGGGTATTCAACATAATCTTTAAATAATGAAGTACACCTAAAAAAACAATAAAGCTAGGCATAATAATTTTTCGGCAATTGGATAAGATTTCGTTAGGACTGGGGACCATGTGCAATAGTAAAATGGATAAATTCGTGGGAATTCCAAATAAAAATACGAAATACTGAAAATCATTTTTGAACATCCAAGGCATAATTATTTTTCTCCACGGCCATTACTGGATGTAGTTCTTCCGAAACCACTTATAATAACAGAAAGAAAACATTATCGCTCTTGAGATTAGCATGTCCCTTTTTAGCATTATTTTTTTTTTTAAATAAAAGCCTCATGGATTGTGTTTCAAAACCGTTTGAAACATATCAAAGACGGTCCTGTGCTCGAGAACCCAGGTGTTCATTATTAGCAGCTGTAAACAAATAGGTACGTGACAGTGGTCGCGTTCGTCAAGCGACATCGGCGCGAGACACTCAAGACTAACTAGCTTAGATCACGTAGTCATCTCTTTCTTTAAAACGATACAAAACTGCAGACAAGTCTGTGCTTCGATAGAAGACAGATGTGCTCTCATTAACATCATGACAATTCTTGTCTGTTATATAAATCACTTAATTTCTCTCTAAGAATACATAAAATAAAATGTGAAATCCTAATGCAGTGTTAAGCATGTAGGTAGTAGTTAAATAACAATAATGTAAATATGTACAGATTTAAAAGTTGTCATGCAGCGTTCTGGCACAATAAATTGTTTTTTACAAAGTGTTGGAATTTCATTGTCCATATGGAGATGGTTGCAGCTAGCACCGAGAGGAGACAGTTCATTTGGTAAGCGCGCCTTAGGGCCGTATTTATAATTTGTGTTGGGTTCAACTTTTAATGATCTACAAATCCAACACAATTTTTGGTCCTTCGAGCCGGATGTAAATATTTTCTTCATGGTCCAGTAAATAAAACCTAATAACTATAGTGAGTTATTTTCAGTGAAAAAATAATAATAATTATTCGTATTTATAATTTGTGTTGGGTTCAAGTTTTGATGACCTACAAATCCAACAGATTGCAAGAATGTCATCTCAGAGGGGGGGTCATGGATGCATGTGTCCGAATCCCTCCGTAAACAAAATTTTATATTAAATTTGTTTTCATCTTGGATATTCAAAAATTGGTTTCATTGTTACCTAAAAAATCTGGCAATAAGGAACTATCACCTTCTCGGGTTTTTATCATATGAATCATTAAAGATGAAAAAACCGTGGAGTGCTATTAAATTAGACTGCATTATTTCTCAAACTTTTTTTGGTGACAAAACCCTTTTGAAAAGCCAAATATTTACGGAGCCCTAATTTTACAGCGACGCATTTCTAAAAAAAGGCCTCAAAAGCACAATTAGATTCTTAATGAAATAAAAAAAAAGCTCCTCCCTTTTGTGGGTGCGAACTTCCTCATTAGTATTTTTTTATTATGACTAATATTTTCGCGGAGCCCCCACAGAGGCTTAGTTTTCTAGATATAATTTAAATAATGTAAGGGTTGTATCTTCATCCCTATCCAATTTTTATCCTCTAATTCAATAGCACTCCGCGGTTTTATAATTTTTAATAACCATTTGAACGATTCATGAGATATAAACCCATGAAGATGATCGTTAGTTTCTGTATGACATAATCAATAGCCTATAGGGGTGATTTTGGGATTTGTTTAGGGATTTCCAAGGAATTTAACAAAATATTTAATTCATATACACAATTTTATGCTTACATTTTTCGTCTGTAATCGGGCAAACTTCTATTCAAGGGTATTTTATCACTGGCTACTAAATTAAATTGGTTTATTTGGTACAGCTGCTGCATTTTTATGAAATCTTTGGGTGGTATAACAACCGGTTGTCCATTTTTCCCGGCATTGGGATCGGGAGAGAAATTATTGAAGTTTAAAGTATCGTTGGATAATTTCGATTTATCGTAACCAAGATTTCCAACGTAATGGCCCACAATGACGCTTATGCCGTTTTTATCGACGTAATCACTCTTGAATTTTTTTCTAAAATAAAATTATTTTTCTGTCTCTCAAAACGCAGTCAATACAATTACCTTAGACTAGATTTCGAATTCGTTTCATAACCCTTTTTGGAATAGGATACTCTTAAAAATAGTAAAATCACAATCGTTGTAATAAAGACTAAAATGAGAAATATTTTTTTACATCTTCTTATAGCTCCACATACCATGCTTCTCCTGGAAAATAATTTAATCATGAATAGTTAATTTATTTAGATTGAATACTAATAATATTCTACATATTTAAAGAAACAAACGTTTTTATAGTGTCCCAGATTTAAACGGACTTTGGGGTCTATTCTGTAACAATTCCTTTATATTTAACGGCCTTTAAAAATATGTTCGTATTCGTTAATTTACTTCTATCATTATTTAAACAGTTTTCTTTAAGATAGTCCTCTAATGTATTTTAAAGATCCGTTTAAATAATGACAGAAGTAAAGAAGAAAATATTTTTAAAGGCCGTTAAATATAAAGGAATTGTTACAGAATAGACCCCATTGGGTGATATGATTGAACGTTTACGTTATCCGTAACGTACATGTTAGGCCGAGTTTTAACATTAACGAGACAAGTTCGTATGATGGAAAACTTTTTCCAACACATTACTGTTATTTTCCGCTTATTATGTTCTAATTTAACAGTTTTCCATCACACAAACTTGCCTCGTTACTGTTAAAACTCGGTCTAACATGTACGTTACGGATAACGTAAACGTTCAATCATAGCACCCATTGACAGTTTAATGGGAGGAAGAGGGTACTTATCCGAGTTCAAAATGCTTCCATTATTTATATATAATTTTTCGGGTTGGCTCAGTGATTAGGATTCCCCACTCGACCATACACTCGATCAGTAGCAAAGTTACAGGTGCTTCAAAATTGATTGTCGCACGATACTGAAATTTGTTTTTTTTTTATTAGTTATCTAACTTTTACATCTCTTCTGTATCTGTAACGTGTGGAGGATGAGTTACCCCAACGGCACTTAGGCCTCACTAGGCCCATTGTGCATCCTCCTGAGACGATAGGTACCTCCTAGCTCGTGAGCCAGCCTACAGATTTATTGTAGTTAACAAAGTCGCCAAGATGTGTTTCTCTTATATCGGCCGGTGTTAGCCGATACTCGCCGAACACTAATCTCCTAATAAATGAGAGCGTCGAGCAATCGTAGAAGATATGGTCTATCGATGATATCATCTTCTTGTTCTCACCCTCTGCAGAGTGCGAATTCTGACAGCCCCATGATATGGAGATGAGTCCGTACTTAGCAGTGACCAGTCAGAATGCCTGTGACTAGGCGCAGATTCTGTCTAGTTATAGTCAACTATTTGTTTACTGCAGTGTTGTCAGGATATCTTAAAAGCTCCCTGGCAACTCTGCAGTTTCTTATTTTATCTCATCTTTCCTTGAATTTCACAACGGAACGTTGTTTAATTAGGTCTGTTACTACCAATTTTGTCAGGCTAATAGAAGGCCAGGTCCAAAACGTATTTGGTTGGCTGCTTTCTTGGCTAGTGAATCCGCAAGACGGGGGCATGAACTTTGATCCATCTTAAGGTAACCACGTTGTTGATGGATACTTCGGTCAAAACTTCGTGATATTCTAGTAGGTACTAACCATGAATACATTCGTGGTCTATTCAGGGTGAGTAGTGCTTGCCTGCTATCTGTATAGCTGAGCATGTTCCTTCCAGTAATATTGTTTCCGGTGATTTCTTCTGCTGCTATGAGAATCCCCGTGAGCACTATTGCTCACAGCCAATTTTATCTTAAGGTTAAAGGATCTAGAGTATATTCCACATCCTGAGCCTTGTTTTGTTTTAGAACCGTCGGTGTAGATATGAATCGGACCTGCCACTTCCGACTCTTCTATTTGTTTTGTTACAACTTTATATGGTTTATGTAAGATATATATCGGTGAGATGGAGTCCATGTTCCATGCCAAAAGCCACATTTTGCCTCACTAGATCCTACATCAGGTTTTATTCCAACCGTGCGGAGGCGTGCCATTGTCGTCAAAGCAACATCCTTGATGTAAATATCACGGGGAGTGAGAATAAGAATGACTTCCATGGCCCTGGCCGGTGTTGTTTTCATGGCTCCAGTTATGTTGAGACATGGTGTTCTTTGAATTTGTTCTAGTTTACGGATAGCTGTCAATTTTTGGGTTTTCAGTACCAAGACAACTGCACCGTTGTTAGCATAGGTCTTATGATAGCAGTGTAAGTCCATGCCCACGACTTTGGAGGAGACACCCCAGGTGCGCCCCAGGGTTCGGCGGAATTGTTTATAAACAATGTATGCTCTTTTGACTCTGTTTTCTAAATGCGAGTTCCATGTTAACTTGCTGTCAAAGGTGAGACCCAAGTACTTCAACTTTGTTGCAAAGTTTAGTTTTGTGTTTAGGAGTTCTGGAGGTTTTAATTCCATTTTTATCCTTTTCCTTGTGAAAAGGACCATTTTAGTCTTCTTAGGATTGATAGACAGTGAATGGTTCTTACACCATTGTTATAAATCTGAGAGCTACTTGCATTCTTTCGCAGAGTATGTTCTCAAAATTGCCTGTTTGCAGAATGACCAGGTCGTGTCTTGACTTTTGAACGAATTTTAATCCATGTTTACGTAAATTAAAATTAAAGAAACACTTTAACCACCTGTAACCCTGTTAATAAGAACTTTTTTGCTTAAAATTATGAAATCTATAAACTGTTTCAGTTGAATCCGTACAGTTTGGTACACCTGTATAAAACATCAGAAATATAATAGTTTATACAGGGTGTTAAAAAAAAGTGTCACAAAATAAAACGGGGGGTAGTATGGGCCAAAATATGCAGAAAAGTCTTAATAAACATATGTCCGCAAATGAATGGTTTCAGAGTGTTTTGTGTTTTGTATCATTTTTTGATTATCTTTTTTCATTCTCAAAAACTTGCTTTTCTTATCGGAGTCTACCGATGTTTTTTCATAGATACTATTTGCAGTTATTATTTTGTTGTGGGTGAATAATTTTATAAATTTTCGTTGTGCCTGTTTACACTAATATTGAATTAGCTGATATGCATTTTATGTACGGTCGTGCAAATGGCAATGCGAGGGAAGCGCTACGTCAGTATTTGAACATCTCATTTAACTCTATGTTGTTATTGATTGTTTATAAATATCATTGTTTTTTAATAATAATAAAAAATTGTTATAAACACAAAATGGTCCGTATCTCCGAAACCGTTAATTTGCGGTCATATATTTATTAAGACTTTTCTGCTTATTTTGGATCATACTATTCACCATTTCATTTTGTGACACTTTTTTTTGACACCCTGTATACAAACAAATTAAGACCCGGTTGTAATAATAATATGGGCTGGGAGAATGCCGTAGCCAGATCCAATTTGTAAATAAGGCATTTAAAATTTGAAATCGGGAATCTAAAATTTGAAATAGGACACAACATCGTCTAGTTGGGTCGATGGTATGGGGTAGTCAGAAAAGTAGGTGAAGAGCGGGTCGAAAATAAGTTTTTCATAAAGCTATTTGTAAAATAAGTTTGCATGTCGCGTTATAAAAAACATTTTTTAAATAAATGAACTGACACCGGTTTTCAAATACTTCCATAAAAATTAAAAATAGAAAAATTAAATATATAATGAAAATATTTAGAATATCTAGTTGATGCCTTCGATTTGCCATTTTGTAGAATTTTCTTTGTAATTCATCTATTTTTTCGATTATCTTTCTTTTAAATGCAAGTAACAACAGACCTGTCATTTTTTATCACAGATAATGTCGGAAAGTTAGACTTGCATGAAGTAGTCCTGCAGTTAAATGCTGTAAAGAGATTATACGTATCTCTCAAGGCTTTCTCTATTGTTGATAAATAATTTGAGCTATATCATCAGGAATTCCACAAAAAGTAGAAGGTCTAGAAGATCATTTGTATCTTAACTGTTTTTTGTAAAAAGTTTGATTTTTTTTCAACTTCCTTATTAAGTCGCGACTTTTTTATTTTCCAAGATAGCTTCTATATTCATAGTTATATGACGTGAATTTTGAAAGATGTGGTTTGCCATACGGATAAATAATTTCCAGTATATGATAGAAAAAAATACCCTTTACTTAATGAAACTGTTTATGTCGCTCGTATTCATCCAGATTTTTGCTATAGCAATGACTTCCAAATCGAACGTATATTTTATGTCTGCGTAAAATTTTGTTTTGTTTTGAAATAAACTGAAATCCGAAGGGACTAAGTTGGGCGAGTAGAGTGCATGGGGTAGTAATTCAAAGCCTAATTCATCAATTATAGCCATCAAAATAATGTACTTGTGACATTGCGTATTCTAATGATGGAACAAATCTTGTCTTTTTGATAATCCCAGACTTTGCTTCATAATTTTTTGTTGCAGCTGACCAAGAAGCAAGTTAGCATACTATTGTCTATTTATTGTTTTGCCCTTTTCAAGATAGTAAATAAAAATAATGCTTTTTGCATCCCAAAATACCGACGCTCTAACCTTTCCGGTCGATGAGACCATTTTCATCTTCTTTGGAACAGATTCGCCTTTCGGGATCAAAATGATTGCCCACTATAGGGTCAGGCTGCAAATTACCTATTCATCACATTCACGTATGTGAGTAAGGTGAATTTAACAGAAATAGAAAAAGAAATGTCCTTTAAATCTTACAATGTTATCTATGTGTTAATGTCTCAATGTTATTCTTACAATGTTAATTTATCAATGTTAATGTTAATCTCACAATGTTATTTAAAGGACGTTTTCTTTTCCTGTTAAATAACATAATTTACATAATACTTAGTTAACAGTTACAAAATTCATAATTAGGATAACAAACCAAGAAACAAGGCACGCTGAGAACACGGATGTGATAGCCCAAGAGCCCACTGCAAATTTTTACCGTCATCTGATAACGAAATGAAATATACCCCAAAAGCATGGAAAAACATTGTACTTTACCAAATGGCACCTGTGCCAATCTCAATCCTGAGCAAAGTGGCTTGAAACAATTATTTTATATTAAAAAAATCACAAAAGGCATGACAGCGCTAATTTTGTTTGCCCTTAGAGTTTTCCAGAAAATGACATTCAAATATATCTTGACATATATTATTAAAGGGAAATATTTTCTTCCTCTTAACATCGCCTAAAAACATCTATCCACGATTAGTAGGTAAATATCATTAAAAATATGAATCAATGTTTGCTGATTTAAAAATGTATTTGTATGCCTATTGTTGTGATTCATTTTTACAGGTTTCCATAGATACGACAAAAAAACTACTATGATTATGGTTTAAAATAATTGTCTATCAAGAGTTTATAATTATTATTGACTATCTCTGCAAATGGTTTATACAATGCCATCCTTCTTCCTTTCATACATAAACATGGTTTAATAGGTAAATAAAAATATTAATAATTCAGGTTCAAAAGCTAGGTTCACAATGAATTAGGATTGTTATTTTCAGGGAAAACATAATTGTCGCTGTCATGTTTTATGTGATTTTTTGAATATAAAATAATTTTTTTTAACCACTTTGCTCAGGATAGGGATTGGCACAGGTGCAATTTGGTAAAGTACAATGTTGTTATATGCCTTTGAAGCATATTTCATTTCGTTATCAGATGACGGTCGAAATTTGCAGTGGGCTCTCATACTATGAATGTGCACAGATAAATAAATAAAAATGATGTGATGTGCAATACCGACTGGCTATTTTTAAGGTAAGGCACTACAATTTTAAGGTAGGGTATTGTCCCTATGTGCCCACCTCTGGGTACGGCCATGGGCTGGGCTAGTGTCGTAGTGCGATAGAGATAGATACATGTTTACAATCATAGATGTAACTAAGATGGGATATACAAAGCGATGCGGAAGGAGACATCATTAGTCGACGGTAAATCAGGGAAGGTGAACCGTATTATTTTATTTTTTATAATAATTGCTATAAGTTGAGTATCAATTGACGGAAAAATATGGTTGATCTTATGATTTACACACATTTTAGAAACTTTTATAAAGAGTGACTTATTTTGTTTTAAAGGCTTGTTTATCTTATTTCGTATTGTAAACAAAAAGTACAAAATTTTTCGCACTTTTTTTTCTAAGATAAAACTGAGAAAATCGCATATTTAGTTATTTTGAGCCGTATGCCCCAATGGTCTTTTAAATGTTTAAAATAATATATTTACGTAACTTGTAAAAGGACTTTTTAGATTTTGCGGTTATATTGTAGTGCACGTTACGCTCTATGCAATGGAACCGATATCTCGCGTTTTGAAAATAGTCCCCTTCTGAACCGTCTAATTTTGAATTTTCTCCGTTTTAAGAATCTCCAAAATATTAGTTTTCAATAAACTAACAATTTAGCTCAGCCCCCCCACAGAACCCAGTCCTGTACAGATAATTAATTTCTTATTAAATAATATAGATCAAACAAATTAAAATAGGTGTTAAAAGTGGATTGCAATATTAAATGTAAGTATTTATTTATAATTTTAAAAATTTACTTTAAGAAAGTCATGAACGTGCAATCTAATTATTTAATTATTTTAATATTAACATGTAGTAAAAAACGATATATTAAAATACAGTGTCGCGCGAAGCCGACTCTGTTCTTTGTTTACTACCTTACCCGTGATATGAAGTCTAGCGCTCGTTCGGGAAATTACCAGAGACACCGTTGCCCGCCGGCTGACTCATAAAGGAAGAATTCTCAGACATTCTAGATCGCCGAGAAACTACTAGTGCTGAGCTGGCTTTATATAAATAGTGCGAGTTTGTCGGAAGACGTTAAGTTTCAATAAAAGTGTTGGATAGTAAAGACAAATTGTAGTAAATAAATTAGACTTGTGAGTTACAATAGGTAGTGCCTAAGTATTAAATAAATTAAGTACTACGTTATAAATAAATTATAAATAAACTGTTTTTAATAAATAAACTATTTTTAAATTAAACAATCTTTACAATAGGTTTGATTAACCTAAGGAAATGTAACTTTCCTATAAAATTTTATCGAAAAAATGGCCAACTATAATTTTGGTGGACAATTATCTTAGAAACGATTAAGATTTAATGCTAAGTATGGAGGTGTTTTGAACTCGGATAAGTGTGATCCTAATAAACTATATCTGTTTAAATCTCCGACCCCCTCTGTTTAGAATTTCGGAAATATAATATTACACAATCTCAAGTGAGATAAGTATGTTTTTTTAGCCTGCCTCCAAATAGTATAATATAAATAATCCAACACAGTTTATAATAATATTGTTTACGGTATTTATCTTATTTGTGATTTTTTATTATTAAAAATATATACTTTATAGATCAAATGTTTGTAGTGTTCTTCTGACCAAATACAACGGATTTTGTTTCATGTAGTTTCGGTAAGATTATTATTATCCCTCCTGTATTTAATGTGCACCTATTTGATCACAACGTACTAATATGAAAAACAGGATTTACTCATTATTACAATATGCAAATACATATGCCAATTAATTTTTATATGTAAAATTATAGTACCTATTATAAAATTATAGTTTTCCGTAATTTTCTTCTTACTTATTTTATATAACTTGAAATAATAATGCAGGTAGGTATAGGTTATGTTGCTGTAATTATAATGACACATATGTTTAAATATAAGGTATGAATATACCTACACTATTTATATAAATAAATTACATATTACCCAAGGATTTTTTACTTGTATTAATTATTATCATCAGCTGTGAGGATTCATACAGAAATTAGTCAATTTAAATTCACAATTACGCTAATATTTTCAGTAAAAATTCTACAATTCAAAAAGAATAAGTAATATCGTACTTACGTAATAAATTAAACTATACCATCAAAATTATATACAGGTAAAATTGTTGCAAACTAAGAACCCACACTTCTTGGTACCAAACGACCGTGAACTCTCTTCTGACGATGCCTCTCTAACATACCTACTTCTTGCTTCTCGGTACGATGGTTAGCTTTTTCTTAAACGCAATACCTATCTACCGTATACAAAAGAATTAATTGGAGAACATCCATTGAAAGAGAAAATAAAATGTTTGGTTATATCTATAAAATTATAAACAATTAAGATACACATAAATGGGTTATGGTATATAAGTATTCTTGTATTTAATGTGACAAAATGTTTATATATTTTAAATTTGTAAATAGTTTGACACATTTGAAGTAATAGAATAAGCATAAGAAAGGAATAGTAATAATCTTCTGATTAAGTTCAAAATAAAAAATAATTTTCTTACGAATATTTAAAAAAGTAGCTACAATTCCAATTTTCAAGTTCCTACCTTTAAAAATTAAAAAAATCAAATTTTCATGTTTTTAACTTCAAAGAACAAAGAATTTCATACAAAGTTACCCCCTTCCATTTCTCCCTTTAAAGTTGAAATTTCCAGAAATCCTTTATTAGTTGATGCTTACGTTATGAAATAACGTATATTTTCCACCTTATACTATGGACTTGTTCGTATTTGAGGTTGGAAATAGCAAAATTGCCAATATATTTTGGGAACACAACCTGCCACACTGGTCCCACGCGCCAACACTTAGGAAATAGCTAGTTAGGTTACAATGTAAACCACCCTGAAAAGAAAGAGAAGAACTCCTATAGCAGAAAATTAGGAAAATATCATAGAAAAATGTAGAAACTTATGAAACAGTCAACTAAGAAATAAACCTGCGTGCCAAATTTCAGCTTTCTAGACTTAGTAGTTTTGGCTGTGCGTTGATAGATCAGTCAGTCAGGAAAAACGATTTTATATACAGTGCTTCTCAAAAGTCCCCTCCCCTCTTTTTTCTTTTGAACGGTGATACTTAGACTGATGAAATTTGAAAGGTGAAAATGAACTATTACAAGCTCTTCTACTAATGGTAACAGTTGACGTAATAGTTATCGATGCCGTCACAAGGCGACTAGAACCAATAGTATTAAATGAGACTTTATGGCAAATGACACCTTGTTCGAACGATATTTAGAATACCTATTCAGTCATAATAATTATGTTTAGATTTATGGAGATTTTGTTGGATAAATTAAATAAACACTAAACTTTCAGTTTCGCTTTTAATTAATAAGAACCAGTTGTTATAATAATTTTTCAAAATGTGCTCCATTTACTTCCTGTCAGTAAAATACGATCCCATTATTAAATTCTTGTCGGACTTGTTCAAATGTGTCAGGGGAAATTGCTCTACATTTTTCAACACATGTTTTAAAACATTAATTCTGCTAGGAGCTGTAGCGTAAACCTTAGATTTAAGATATCCCTACACAAAAAAATCTAAAGTTGTTAGGTCCGGGGACCAAGGTGGCCAATTCATTAGATATTCTCAATGGATTTGTTGACTTCTTCAAACAGTCATATATTACCTTTAGCCCGTTTATTGCTAATTCAAATTCACGACTCAATGTTTCTTTCCTTAATGTCAATAGTTTTATCGAAAAAGGTGTATGAAGCTCTAAAGTCTATTAAACCTAAAAAGATAACTAGTCCAGACCATATTCCAGCTTTTATTTTAATGGATTGTGCCTTTCATCTTGCCCCTCCGTTAGCCACCCTTATAAATATATGCTTCAGGACATCAACTTTTCCAGATATTTGAAAGACCTCAAAAGTATGTCCAGTTTTCAAAAAGGGGGATAAAAAAGATTTAACCAATTACAGACCAATATCTATAATAAGCAATTTCTCCAAAATATTTGAAATTTTATTGGAGAAGACCTTATATCATTATGTTAGTAAAATGCTATCAGTCAATCAATATGGGTTTATGAAAGGTCGCTCAACAGTCACCAACCTGGTTACCGTCACACAATACATTGCTGAATCTATTGATGAGCGCGCCCAGACGGATGTCATCTACACAGATTTCTCCAAGGCATTTGACAGACTTGACCACGGTATTCTTCTTGGAAAACTTACAGGGTTTGGGTTGTCCCCCCCTTTGATAAATCTCTTTCAGTGCTAATTAGTAAATCTTACTCAGTTTGTACAGCTTAATGGGTTTAAGTCTGTCAAATTTGCAACAACATCTGGAGTTCCTCAGGGTTCCATTCTGGGCCCGTTACTACTTAATATTTTCATCAATGATATCTCGAGTGTAATTAAAGAGCAGTTTCTACTGTATGCAGATGATTTAAAATTATACAAGCGTGTGACAAGTATTGGCTACTGTGAACAACTTCACATGAACTTAAATCTAGTGGTTGAATAGTGTAATAATAATAAACTTTAACTTAAATGTAAAGTTTCCTTTTACTTTAAAAACCGACCAAATAAAAATAATTATTTAATAGATAATGTCTCACTTCAGCGACCAGATACTTTTTGATCTCGGATTGACCTTTATATGTCACATTGATAAACTTATTGAAATATCGTATGTATGGTTTTATAACTTGCTGTACCAGGAATTTCAAAGATGTAGCCACATGAAAAACGTTATATTACTCTCTAATAAGAGTATGCGTCTGGAGTCTGTTTTACCAATTTCACACGGATCGAATTGAAGCAGTTCAAAGGCGGTTACTAAAATTACTGTGTTTAAAGTAGGATGGTGTTTATCCGCCAATTGAAGTACCACACCAAAATCTTCTTCAAAGATATCACTTTTTAAGCCTCATAAAAAGATGTGAATACCAGTTTTATATGTTAGGTTTCAAAATTGTTAACGGTTTAATTGAGTCTCCTGAATTGTTGAGAAAAATTGATATTTGCATTCCGAGAGTATCTTCTAGAAATTCTGACATATTTCACATATCTGTACCTCGCAAAAATGTTCTGAAAAATTCTCCATTTCATAGATACTATTAGCCGCGTTGTGAATAGTGTGAGTAGTGACATTGACATCTTCTTTTGCAAACTTAGGAAAATAAAATATAATTTCATAACCTAAAAAAAAAAAAATAGAATTGTATTGTAGTGTACTGTATTTTACCTACTGGCTGATTACAAATTTTTGTATATTTTGTTCCACTTAGTCTACATCAAGGGCGGCACCAAGCCATTCTCTTTAGCCATTCCCTTTATAGCTATTCCCTATAGTCATTCTCTTTAGCCATTCCCTTTAGCCATTCTCTTTAGCCATTCCCTTTTTAGCATATTTTTTTGAATAAAAGGCCCAAGAATTTTAATCTCCGGGGGAGGGATGGCACCTGAGGCTCCCCTGGAGTCGCCCTTGGTCTACATAATGTATGTGTTCTTTTATTCCTGCTCTGTAATTGGGATTGCCTGTAGAGCATTATAATAAATAACTAAATTAACGGTTCAGTTGCGTTTTCTAACATCTCCAGATATACTTCACCGGTAAAGTGAGAATTCAAAAAAATAGGCCTTACTACGTGGCTTTCCAAAATACTTTCCCAGACATTTATTTTTTATAAAAACTGTCGTATGTTTTTCACGAAACGTGTGAGGATTTATGTCACTCTAATACCTCACATTTTAGTATTAACATTTCCATTAAAGAAGAAAGTCACTAAAACAAATTGTTTTTACATAGTCTAGCTGTTGAACAATTTTAGTGGACATATTTTCACTGAATGCCATTCTTCGGTCGGGGTCGTCATTTGAAAGCTTGATGGACCATTAAACTGTATTAACTGTTGCTATGGGTCAGGGCCGGCTGCGATACAATGTAGACTAGACTGCGAACCACTACTGTTTTAGTCTGCTTATACGTTATACGTAGTTTTGGAATCACTACTTTTAAGTTTTTTGTTAACCAAAAGTTCTGGTCTAGTCTGGTTCTTCAAAATATGTTCTAGAACTATCCGAGTATCTACTAGATGACCAGTGGAAAGTTGAAAAGTTTTACGAAACGTATATAATTTGATATTCAGCTGTTCTACTGGATCTCGGACGGTTTGCAGTACATTTTGAAAAACCAGAACAAGCCTAAATGTAATTTTTTATATCTTATTGGTTGCCTTGCCTTATTTCAGGAGATCTATTTTGCTAGAATTTTTATATTATCACAGTTGTTTTATAGTGTCACTTTATATGTCAAAATTAGAAAAAATAATTTATAACTAGATGAATATCTTGTGGAAAGTTATTATAAATCGATTCTTCATAATAATTACTAATTTTTAATTATATTTAATCTCAATAACTTTTGACAATTAGTTTGACAGAATTGTCATTTATTAAAAATAAAAAAAAATAATAGTAATACGATGCCTAAATATGAACTGTGATTGGTGAATTTCATATTCGCACACTGTCCTTACTAGAATGGATATGAAATTATATCCGTTCAGTAGAATACAACGGCCTACTATTTGGTTCTGTAGTCTGTACGTTAGCATAATTTATAATATTCGTGTGAAACATTTTTTAAAATTGTTTTACAGATTGGATACTTGTTTTTCTTCGATCTTACTCCAGATGAGGTTTATGTCGATATACTTACCTCTTATTTGAAATAACCAGATTAATTTTATCACAAGTTTTAAAAAACTTTCGAGTTTATTAAAAAAGGAGTAACAAACTGAAAAACTAACAAAAATATTACAGGCACTTAGATATTTTAAAAACTGGAATAACACTGGTATCTCTTTATAAATTACAAGATATAAAAAATATTTGAAATTAGTAAAATAGAAAAATAAATTTTTAACAGAAAACATAAGGTGACTTATTAATGTGACTGTATGATTTGGACATACCTATTTACATTTTTTTTATTTAATTGGCACTTTGTCTCATAAATAAATCACCAAATATGTATAATACATTACATATCACAAATTTATTTACAACATTGATTTTTTTTAATAAAAATTAAAAAAATTAACTACGGCCCACTTGATCGATTTGAGTTTGAAGATTATTCACGACTTCTGGAGGAAATTGATCTCCTAAAATTTCAAATAGGTTGATTTTTTGATTTCCGGGAATGCTTTCGTATGCTCCAATTTCAATGCCTTCTTGTACCTGAAAGTTTAAAGAAAAAACAGTCAGAATTTATTGAAACAGAAACCTCAAAAATATGTAATGTAATAAATGTTTGCACCAAATTTCACGTAAATTCAGCCATAATATTAGTAGTACAATTGTAATTTTTTAAATGATCACCCTGTAGATAAGTAGATGTATTGAAGTTAGTAAACAGACATTCTAGAGATTGTGTAGAAAATAATCGTTTTCTTTTTACAGGTATACTTGACTAACTAAAAGTTAGATTCTGATCTAAGCTAAATTGTAAAAAGAACGCGAATTTTGGTTGACAGGTGACGTGTCCCATGTCATATGTTTAAAAACAATCGATATTTTTATCAAATTTTATAATTTCTTCATCATTCAACACTACGATCTTACCGCCTGTTATCATAGTCTTTCAATCTCTCTAAAATAATGAATTCATAGGATATGTTTGTTCGTATGATGCATAGAATACTCACTTTCTGTTATGGTTTATGGTTGACGTCAAGATCCGTGTACCTTAGCATCGGTAAGGGGGGAAGAAAGATTATGACTTACCATCACAAAAAGAACGTACAACTAAGCTTAGTCGATGTAAGTTAGCTCAAATTAGTTGTAAAAAGAAAACGACTAATACATGAAGAAGAAATTGCAAAACCCATCAAATCATAATCAGATGATGCACTGGCTCATCTCACCCTCGCTTCAATCTCTATCTCTTTAGTCAGGAGGATTAAAACAGGTAGATTGGCGCAAAATTACATACAAATAACGAATTAGTAGTGAAGAGTTTATGATCTCTTATTAATTGCATTCTTTTTGTATAAATAGGCATCGAAATCATTTTGTCACTTAGTTATAATTAACTTTTTAGTTTGATATATAATATATTCGATTTTCTTGTGTATTTTTATTGTTTTTACTAAATATTTGTTTTAAAATGTGACGTCATTGGTTCGAAAATAATACTGAAGCAGAAGAACACTCCAATAAAAATTTAGATGCAGAGCACGTGAAACATCAGAGAAGTGTTACGATCTTTCGGATGATGCCAAAAATATCGTAAAAAATGTTTATGAAGGATGTGTTTAGCACTTTCTACATCAGATGCAATTATAATCGTAACGTCTACATCAAGAACAAAAAGAAAAACATATCGCAAACTCTAAAATCATTTAATCCATCCAATTATCAACATAGTCTATGAAATGTATGCAGTCAATATTTTTCCAACGTTGGAAAATCTTCACTGCGAGTTAATTCGAAAAGAAATGCTTTCTTATTCGGAAACAACTCTTCGGAATTTCCTTGAATCCAAGAATTTTGAATATGAAATCATAAATAAGCGTCAGACGTTCATGGAAAGTAGCCGAATCATTTATTTGGACGAAACCTGGTTAAATACTCACGATACTGTGATAAAAGACTGGACAAATTATAGTAAAGAATATTTAACTATAGTACCTCTCAATAAAGGAAAAGCAATAATATTTTTTTTCCTACGACCACTCAGGAAAGTAACACCTATCGCACTGTTTAGTCTTATGGAAAGTGCACTATATTACACGCGTGTAGATAAATCTACTTTCCAACCGTGTGTAAATATGTATCTACTTTCCGAATAAACTGTCAAATGTGTCAGACGTCTAATTTCTTTTTTGATTAATGTAATGTCCATTTTTAGAGTAAGTTGAATTAGCATATACCGTATCTTAGACGTGAGTCTACTTATCCAAAATACACCATAACTAATTGACGAACTTCAAGTATAGACCGTAAATTCATGAAAAGAAACTTTAGCGAATTAATATTTTTAACAGTCCTCTACATTGGTCTTTCCAATCAAGGTATTGATCTATTTGGATTTCTAGAAAGCGAATGCTATCATTCCCATCATTAAGAAGGACATTTTCAAAACTAATCTCTAGGGACTCAACGTTATGTTGCCTGTTATGAAATCTAAGTACCTCAGTCTTATTAGCATTGAAAATAAAACAAGACTATTAAAGTAACTTGACATTTTTTGAGCGATGTTGGAGCTCTCTCTGTTTAGTAGATCCGTATTTTTAACTGAAATTATAGCCGAGAAATCATCTACATAGCTTACATAATGATTATCACCTATGAATGAGTCAATATTGTTTACATACAGTATGAACAATATGGGTCACAAAATTGAACCCTGAGGAAGTCCCATATTAATATCTAGTGTATCAGAATTAATAGTATTGGTTTTGTTGGCGTTTTGTACTTTTAAAAAAATATATTGCTTCCTAACACGTAAAAAGGTTAAGATTCAATTTAAAACAGTGCTTCTGATTCCATATTTCTCCAATATATTTAATAGCAACTTATGGTTGACACAATCGAATGCTTTACTGAGATCACAAGAGATAGCAGCTGGGCATTCAGATTCCTCCAAATGGTGAATAATTTTATTGTAAAATGAAAGCATAGCAGGTGTTGTTGATTTTTCAGCACAGAATCCATGCTCATTTTCTGTTATAATGTTGTACCATTTCAAGAAAGACGGAAGACGATCAAGAAAGGCATATTTAAAGATTTTAGATAGACCACATAGGTCTATAGTTTTCTATTTGTCTACGATCATTGTTCTTGTGCAATGGTAAAACTTTCCCAAGTTTTAAAGCTTGAGGAAAACTGCCCATCTCAAATGATAAGTTTACAAAATATGTTAAAGGTTCAGAGAGAACATCTAATACTTGTTTTAGTATAAAACATGGTACGTCATCGGCTCCAGAAGATCTTTTGTTTTTAATAATTTTACTAAGTAATAAATTTAATAATTCTGTGTGAGAAAATGGAGTGAGGAAGAAAGAATCTTTATTTGATGTGATTTCTTCGATGTAGTAGACTTTGTCATTATTTTGTCGACCAAATGACCAGGTGCATATTAGAAAAAATAACTATTAAACTCTGCAGTTACCTCCCGTGGATCATCCAGTAACATCCCGTCCTTTTCTATGACAATAGTTGGGACAGATCTTTGCCTATTCGTAATTTCTGATACAACATTCCAACAAGCCTTAATAGTATTGTCTGATCTTAGAATACGTGTTTGATATAAAAAGGTCTTTTAGTGATCGACTTGATATATATCTTAGATATGACTTTTTAACAAATTATTAAACAAAATTTAAACTACTACCTGCATTATTTTTGCCTTTTCCTAGTTCATGTACATATTTAATTAGATAAGTCAAATGACAGAATCGTAATAGAGCAGATTGTATAGTGTCTTACTTGTTCAAATCGTCATTTCGCAACTATTTCGTGACGGCTGCTGGTTCAATTCCCGGTGAATTATCTTTTTTTTTAGTTTTTTTTTAATGAAAATTGGAAAAATACGATTATTGTTGTTCATTCATTTAAAATACGTGTTATTTATCATAATATAACCCCTACAATAAATTATTTGTTAAAAAATAAACTAATGAAAAAAATTAATGAATTCTAATATTTTTTGTACCTAATATTATTTTATCTTTATCATCTTATGAAATTATTTGTAAATGAAATGACACTATTTTGAATTTTGACAAAACACTATCTGTGAAATTATTCAATAAGGCATACAAAAAACAAACCTAAAACCAACCACATGTTGATGGCCAGATTTCCTAGTTTTACAATTTTGATAAAATTATTTTGTGGTGGTAGGAAAAATATTATTATCGAATAAAAATTATTTTTCACACTCGTCATGTAATATACTATAACATTGTGGTGGGGAAAATGGATGGATCGATCATGGTTATTGCTATCGTCTAAAAATATTAAAATGCATCATTATACTATCACAATGATATGAAGAGAATTCTTTTTGAGTTCCTACATCGATAGTAGCAAAACCAGACGACAGAAAATACTTGCAGAAGAATTTTTTTATTTTTATAGACGTCTCGAAGCAAATTATTTCATCGAAAACAAATAACGAAAAACTCCATCGATGAGAAATATTATTTTGAATTTGACAGGACATAGTACATATTGTTCACCTCCCTCCTCTGTACCTAACTACAAATAGCAAGCAAAAAACACGACATGCCATATTTTGCAGCCAAATAAGGGACTGTATGATTTAAAACGACCCATTGGGTCTTTTTAACAATGTTGCCAAACTTACCTTTATCTTTTTCGGTGTAAATTTTCTCACCGAATTCGGAGGCAACTATACTCTTTTCATAGAAAATAATTTAAATATAATTTTAAACAACTATATACTTACTTTCTGTATTTGGGCATCTTTCGGAATTAAAAACGTATTTTGCGCCTGCCTAATGGCTTCTTGCGTATAGGCACTACCTTCTTTTTGCGGGAAAGCGGCCACAACGCCCATGAAAATAAGAAAAACGACAAACTTCATTGTCCAATCTGAAAAATAAACGAAAATATCAAAATAAATGAAATTGCTTTTAAGGTTTACATTCTCGTTAATTTAATCTAATGCGCAATTATTTAATATAAGTTTTTAAAATTTTGAGAAATTGTGATTGTTGCACTAAAAAAATACATACAGGGTGATTCCAAAAATGACTACCATTTCTTAAAAAAATTAAAGGATCCCATGCATATTGGAATAAATTTTAGGTACAATAGGTATATGTATTATCAAGACATTAATACTTTCTACAGAATACAGAGTGATTTATTCGTATAATTCGTTATTCATATAGTAATCTTTAAAAAAATATTTTTTTTTAGCAGCTGTGCATTTTCGATTTGATCTGTCAAAAATTGTCATTTAGTTTTCTGGTAATTAGCTTGAATAAGTTAATAACTCGATATACAGGGTGTCTCGAAACAATTTGTATCTTCCAAATTTATATTTCCACAAACAAATACTAAGAAAGAAAAAGTTTTAAAATAGATGTGTAATTCTAGTGTTGTTCCGTTTTTGGCTAAATATTTCTGGGGGTTAAAGGGGCGTTGACCCCCTCTGAAAACCCACATAAAATGAAAATAAATGAATGCGGCTACTGCGTGCATGCATAATTAATGTTAAACCGTTTTAGAGCAACTTTAAAAAATTTGATTTAAATTTTCAAATTAACTTTTTGGTTCAATTGACCTATTTTTGACCCCAGAAAATGTAGTTTCGGGAAATATTGCGTTGGAGTGGGGAACATGGCACGAGGTTCGAAAAATAATTGAAGGGGACTCTTGACGTGTTGCAATATATCCTGAAACTATTCTATAATTTATGACCAATCTTTTCGATACACATCGGTCTTATTAACTATAATACTTGTTAAGTTATTTATTATAAATTAAAAAAAGTAGTTTTTGCAACAAGAGTGGATATGAACAATCCACTCGAGTTGTACTGTATTCTTCGACGACCCACTAACGAAAATCTACAATTTAAAAAATTATTTTAGGTTATTAAGGGAAAATAATTTTAAAATAGTTTATGACTTTTACTAATTTATAAAAAAAAATCAATTTAATTAGTTCTCAGCCCAGATTTGAACCAGAGCCTCTCGCGTGGAATACAAACGCCGTGTCATCACCTCCATCGCCCCACTTACGATTTTAGTTTTAATACTCGAAATTAAATTAGTTTCATATAGTTTGATTAAAATTTTAGAGTTATTTGTAAATGTGGACGAAATAAAAATAGAAATGCTATTATTTATCGATTCTACACAAGAATAACTCATTTTTACGTATATATAATCTCAATAACTAAAATATATACTGACAATTAGTTTGACAGAATTAAAAAATATTAGTAGTCAGGTGACCAAAATATGAACTGTGATTGATGGATTTCATTTTTTGCATTGTTCTTACTTGGTACAATGGATATAAAATATTTTATTCGTTCAGTTGAACGCAATGGCATACTTTTTCGTTTTGTAGTAATTCTTTATAATTTTTTTTGTTTGTTAAATAAATACGATTCAAATTGAAGAACTTCGATTTGGTTAAAAATTCAACAATTGTAGATTTGCAAAATTAAAAATATTTGATTAATTTTTGGAAGCGCTACAATAAAAAAAACTTAATTTGGCTTTTCGATTTCTCCTTACTTCTTCATTTGGGTGCTTGAAAAAAAATTTATTAAAATATTTTATTTAACAATTATTGTATTTTTTATTGCACAAGTTTCTCTGAACCGTATTTTTTTAACAAGAATAAGAAATTATGAAGAATTACTTTTTGTACAGTTAAGTTCATTTATGGACATACTGAATTTTCATTATTTTGACCAATTTTTAAGAAACATGCTGCTAAATTTAAAAATTACTTTTTTTGAAAGCATATTATATAAAGCTAAGAACTTTTTTATTTTTATTGAAATAGTAGTTTATGGACGATGTACAGTATATTTTTCTGAGAATTTAGATGCTTATCTACTAATGCCAAAACATCAACAGTTACCAATCTTTGCATTTTTAGTGAATATGTGACTTCTCAAATTGACCATTGTCAAATTGGCACAATATACAATGATCTAATAAGGCAAATCGTAATCTTTTATTAAGAAAACAAAAAAGTTATGGTTTCAGTGAAAATTTAATAAATTTTATGAACTCATATCAAACTAATCATAATAATATTGTTAAATATAACAATTTAGTGACAAACACATTTACAAATACTTCAATAGTACTCCAGGGATCCATACTAGGACCTCTACTTTTCATCGTGTTTATAAGTAATATCAATGAATACATTAAATCATCGAAATTTTTACTTTTTGCAGATGGAATAAAACTATTTAAAAAAAATCAGTTCTCATATGGATATAGATGTTCTATTAATAACATCTGTAAATATTATAAACTTAATGATTGTCCTTAATCGAATTATAATATATACTAGAAAAAATGAACATATTAGAGGTAAGTATACAATTAACTCGAAGCATTAAATACCATTAGGATGTAGGTGTTGTGATCAATAGGAAACTATTTTCATTGATCACAATAAACATTCGAGTGTGATTTGTACTAAGGACTTGTCTCGACTTTACTTATCAGATAACTATTTTGCTTTTTAATTCCTTTATCAGATCGAAACTAGAATACTGCAGTTCCATATGGAACCCTCAAATAGTTTCTGCATGAGAAATGTTGGAAAAAATTCAAAAAATACTTTTAAGAGCAATGCACTGTAAAAAATTATGTATTATATCTATATCTTGAAGTATTTGGCCTCATTTTTGATTGCATGCATCTTTGTATTTCTGAATTTTAAACTGTCTGTAAAAAGTTTTCTTATGTAACTTTTTAATATTTGCAATTTTCTTAACATGTTATTGTCTGTTATTATATATAACTGTTTACATTATAAATTGAACCTGTTCTGTATACCTACTGACGTATAAAATGAAAAGTAAATAAATTTATATCTTGTAAGAAGCAATAGTTTAATTGGATTCTTAAACAACATCGGCATATGCTATGGAACAATGAGGGCTAAGTATATACTACCCGAATTACTACTCATAACATAATTAAGTAAATCCGCTACGTTAGGGCCCCAAAACTATTTTATTGCCTGATGAAGTTTTCTGCTAGATTCATCTATTCTTTTATCTACGGCAAATGTGTTTGCTTTCAGATTTTGTTTTTTTTGGTATATCGGAGTTAGAGAACTGGCCCCGGGACACTTCCTTGAGATACCCCTTCTTTTATTCATGTTTTACTCTGAATATTCTTTCCGTAGGATTTTAATATGTCACAATATTATGATATCTACTTTCTTTATCGTCCACACCTATCATTTACAAAATATTTATGAAAGTAAGGGAATATACACTTGAACCTTGACTTGAACTTTGTTTAAATGCGTCACGTATTTATATCTAACCTTTCTTTAAACCTTGCATGTGGTGTATGTATATAGACAATTGAAACTTTCCCGCCATTTATAGAAAATGGAAAATGTAATAGCGTATGTTATTTTGTAGCAGGAAAGAGTTTTGTGAAAAGGATGTATTTTTTTTTTTTTTTGAATCAAGGGTTGGTGTCAAAATAAACTACTCATCCTTTATCATCATTTTTCGTGGCATTTATGCCAAAAAATGTTTTAAATAAAAATTGTGTGGCTATGACTGAATTTTGTTAAAATGCCATAAAAAATAATAAAACATCATTTTTTAAATATATCATAAAATTTTTGGAAAGTCCTTATAATATGTCAAATTTAATGATATAATGATTTATTAAACTTCATTCTCGGAAGGTATTTAATATAAATTTTATATGATCAGTTTCTGTGTTGATTTCTACACCTTGTATATTTATGTGGTAAAGCTGGAAAGTTAAAATCGTGTGGCCTCTATTTTAGTTTCGAAGCGTCCATGGTACTTTCATAATGTAGGAAGTCATTAATATTAATATTATTTGTTCAACTTTTCATCTTTATTTAAATAAATAAGATCAGCTAGTTTATTGATTATTTATGGAAAGTAAAATATTGATTGTATGATATAACGCTGACGAAAGAGAGAACTTCCTAAATTTGCCAAGAAAGTGTTTTATTTATAAAATAAATTATGTATATGGAAAGTTTTTGTTAAATTTATAAAATAAATTACTATTATTATACTCTTCACACATTATTATAGGTTTACTTTCGAAAACCAGAATCGTTAATATTGATCCAAATTTAAAAATCCTTGTCATTAAATTTTAAATAACTTTTAAAAATGTCCGTCCGATGTCACGTTTTTTCCTCACTATAACTCAAAAACGAAATATGATATCAACTCGAAATTTTTAGGAAAAAAAAACAAGCTCTATAAGTGGACAAATTCTATTGATTCTGGAACAATCTGTATAAAAAGGTTAAGAGAGAGTTGAAATATTAAAACAAATCCTAATTCAAAAACGAAAAATAATATCAACCTGACATTTTTATTAAAAATCAAGCTCTATAAGGGGACAAAGCCCATTGATTTTAAAAATTTGATTAAAATTTCAGGTTAAGGGGGGGGGGGGGGGGGGGGGGGGGGGTTGAAACAAAAAAAAAGAAAACCAAAAGCGATACTAAAATGAAATGTTGAAATATTGAAAAAAATCCTAACTCAGAAACAAAAAACGATATCAAATTGAAATCTTCCTTTATAAGGGTAAATATTAATAATTACGGTTTGACTGCTAAAATACACTTTTTGAAAAAAAATATACTATATAGTGAGTAATTTTTTAATTCAAAGTAAAGAAACTTCATAAAAATCGTTTAACACCTAAAATAATTATTATAAATTCATTATTTAAGCTGTGCTAGCCAAAAGTCCCCTTCCCCTGTATATTTTGAACGGTTATACTTAAACTAATAAAATTTTGAATGTGAAAATGAATGTAGATAAATTCCTTTTGTAGTGGTAACTAGTAACGTTATCATCACAGATGGCGCCACAGTGTTAGTGTGACGAATAATTTTAAATAGGATCCTATTGCGAGGACACCTCGTTTGAAAGTTATTTAAAACTGTCACAATTTTGTTGGGGTTTAATTTTGTTTTGACGTATTAAATAAATAAATTCTAAAATTTCAATATAGCTCATAATTAATACAGACTTAAAAGTTCGATTCTGTTTGATTGTCAAAAAAGACCTGCTTTACTTTGTGCTTTTTCAAGTCTTTATTTCATAATAAATTTGGAATGGAAGTATTAAAAATAGTAGTATTGTGGAATTTAGAAAAAATAGGCTTTTAAATTTTGATATAAAATTATACCTTTCATGTAAAGTAGTGGGAGTAAAAAATAAATTATTGAAAAAAGTAGAAAACAAAAAATCAATCTATCCGAACTTTACCTCCGAAAATAATTAACTCGTAAGATAAGGGAGTGTTTCCACCCACACTTTATAATCGCACTGTATATAATTCAGCAATTTGCCGTAAAAAATGGGACATTTATTTTAAGGGTTTGTAATAATATCGTTTTTTTTTTTTCGGAAATATAATTTAAAAAAATAGATGTACTTTTTCCTAAAAAATTTCTCCACCTGAGGCACTTCTATTTTTATTCACAACAATAAACAATCACAGGACCTTAACCATTTAAAAATAGGAATTTAATTTAATAAATAATAAAAACCTTTCACATCTATATTACAAACCGAATATTATAAACAAATTTAATATAGACCTATTATTTAGATTTAAAAATAAATTTCTAAAAATATATTGCAATATATCATTTGATTGATACCCAAAGTTAAATTTAGTAAAGGCTGTCACGGATAATGAAATGAGGAACCTGTAAACACAGACAAATTTAAAAAAATATAAAAACTCTAGATATCTTATGAAAATTGCTACATTGAAAATCTACTTAACTGACTTTCTGTCAAGTGATTTATGGTAATGACAATAATAGTAGAAGTATTCAAAAAGTCTTTGTAGCTATTTATCAACATGTGGTTGAGTGAAACGAAAATAATTGAAATTATAATAATGATTAGCTGTGGATATAAAACGAGGACTTGCGTTCTTCTTCTTAAATCAGCTAAATCACGTGAATTAGTTTTGTATAGCTTATTTTTCAAATATCCCCATAAGAAAAGGTCTATTCGCGTAAGATCGGGTGATAGTGCTGGCCATTCCATCGATCCTCCCCTTCCTATTTACTGATTTGGAAATATTTGGTCGAGATACTGCCGGAAGTTGTTTTGGTAATGTGATGGTGCTCCATACTGCTGGAACCATATCACATTCGCTTAAACTTGTGGGTCTGCTTGACGGGGATATAAATTAGCCAAAGTGTGCACCACATTATTTTGGAGCAGTGTTAAATAATTATCTCCATTCAAATTGCTATCGATGAAAAATGGACTAATGGCAAACATTATTTCTAATTATTCTTGTCCAAATATTAATCTTTTCAGGGTATTGTGTGTGTTCTTCTCTCATCCAGTGAAGATTTTCATAAGACCAGTAGCGACAATTTTGACGATTTGTATGGCCGTGAAGTGTAAAATGCATCTGTCGGAGAACACATGTTCTAGTTAAATAACATTGTTATCTAACATTTTCATCATTCGTTTACAAAAATGCGTTCTATTAAAATCGTTTCCTTGAGCTTTGGTATCAATTTATAGGGATGCATTTTAGTTTATTTTATTATTCGAGTGATAGATGTATGGATAACACCATCTAATATTACAGCTGCTTGTCGACTTGAAGTATGTGGGTTCTCCTTAAATTCAAGCATTATGTCCAATTTTGTATCATTACTCAGTAAATTCGAATTTTTTTTATCTGCCTTACATGTCCAAGCTCTCGAAATTGTTTTTATATATTGTCTTTGCTGACTACTTAGGTAAAACTCAACTAATATTTTTGGGGACAGCAGCAAAACGTAATAAAGAAAAATCTTTAAAGATGATTCAAGCTTTCGGAAGTCAATATGTCAAATTGGGACATTTTTCTTGAACTTCGATCTCCGTTACAAATAATTCGTAAAACTGTTATTTTATGCATTTCTGTTAAATAAATCGTTACTATATTCAAATGTTACGTAAAGCACTGACAGCTGATAGCAATTAATGTTATGAAGTTACAATCACTCAGCAAGTTGCTTTTTTTATTAAAAATAATTGTCAGTAGAAATTTAGAATTTAGAGTTGTAGAATTATCGATAAGATAGAAAAATTATAAAATATATAAATTGAATTAAAATGGTTTAATAAGTTGAATTAAATTGAAACAAAAAAGTATTAAAATAGAAAGAATGAACATAATTTAAAAAAGGTAACAAGGAGATGAATATAAAAGGATCAAAATAGAGTAATTTTTTAAAAAGCAAGTGAGAGGGATCAGGAGAAAATGACAAAGCAATAGTTGGAGCAGATTTTGGAGAAACGGTAACATAAAAGGAAATTATTTTATTTCTTTTTTGATATTGAAGGAAATTGTATTTCTATTTTGGTATTAATTTTTTTTATATTTTGTAGGAAGCCAAAGGAGCCATAACATTAAAGCTCTGGGAGATTGAAATATTTTAACTTCTATGAGGTGGAACCATTATAATATATACAAAAATTTCAAAAAAAAAAAATAATTTTAGAAAAATAAGACTTTCATTTTAATATTTTCAAAAAAAAATGTGAAAATATTCTTTTTCGGAAATAAAATTTAAAATAACAGATGATCCTTTTCCTGAAAAATTACTCTACCTTTAACATCCCAATTTTCATCCACAGGACGGCACCCCCTTTAAAAAGGTTCGATTTAACTTTCTTAAAATCAATTTAATTTAATTAATAAATATAAAAAACGTTTCACATCCTTATTACGAAACGAATAGTAGGCAGGTATTTAAATTATTACGACAGCGATGTCACTGATGGGTTTAGAAATAAAAAATTCACTTTTAACTTTCACTCACACACAGAACAAACAACTTACCTTTTCGTTATAAGTGTATGGCGGAAAATGCGATTATAAATTTCGAGTTAATTGTGAAATGTTGGCTTTATATAAGCAATGTCCGACAGACGTGAACTCTGTAGAAGAAGGGGAATGGAGAAGATTATAGACGTGTGGTATGACCCACTTAAATTTATATTCTTCAGAAGATAATGTATATAATCGATTGGTTTTTGTTGTCTGCACCAAGAAATATTTGTTTTTTCGAGGTATGGGTGTATAATATATATAGTAAAATCTAGTATTATCCGTTTCAATGGGAGCGTATTATTTATCCTAGATTCATAATTTTTTTTGTATTATACATTTTGGCGATATATTTAAGATGCAGATTTTAAAACATTGATTGCGTATATTGTAATTTTCTTTCTAGCTACATAGGTACACTCTACTTTTTACTATAGTATATTTCAAGAATAACGTAGAATAAATTCTCTCCGAAACCTCTAAATACATAGGCGTGCATAATTTATAAATTAATGCTACGTTTTATTTAATTAAGTATATATATATTTTTAATAGGTACATACGAACGCACCTAATCTTACAAGATTAATCAGCATTTTTATAATAACCTAATTAACTACTAAATTTTATATCGTGATTTCACCAGTGTTCAATACTAGTTATTAATATATTCTGTACACTTCGATATTGTGTCTCATAGCACTAACTCTGCTTTAACACGATCATCAAGATCATTTCACTTATACAAGCTCAAAAGTTTTGACTCTTAAGTCTACGCACTAAATAGTTCCTAATTATTGTCTAAAACGATGATATCCAAAGTGGTTTATATGGCCTACTACAAGGGATCCATATAAGCGAAAAACGGAATTGAGGATCTATGAGATGTAAACGATTGATAGTCGATCTCATCAAGCAGATCGCGACTTTAATTTTGACTTTCCATTAATGCAGTAGACGGCAGCTCATTGGTCAACAGAGCCAAATAGCAACAGTAAAACGACTGAAATTTCTTTTGAGAGACACATTTTTTAAATTTAAACTATATAGATAAGTACATTGTTGTTGGCTTAATAAGGGTAGTTCTAAGCTGACCTTTGCTAAAAACATCCTCAATCTGATTGAGGTACGTTCGCTGAGGTCGATTTTTTCCAACTCTCCCATCCACACTCGTCTTGTAAACTTGTTTCATCTATTTCCTATCGTTCATTCTCTTTATACAGATTAGGAAAAAACTATACGAGCACCTTTTCACCAATAATTGTTATGCGCTTCAGATTGTAATTTTATTTTTTTTTTTTTGAAAATTGGTGAATAAAGTTTATTTATTATTATTATATTATAGGCTATAGGCACTGCGAGTGAACATCCATCTCTATATATTTTATATACAACGACTACTACCTCTCCTGTGACCTGCGAGCGTCCGAACTCATAAAAAGTTCCAATTTAGTAATGAATGAGGCATGAACTATTGTGAAATATAGTTCTCTCTAATTAAATAAATACAATATTTACGTAATTCTCTGATTCTAGAATTACGAATTATATGCAATTGAATAAATAATAACTTGATTTTGAATGAAATCTTAATATTTTTGACCATTAAGTTTACCATCAATGAAAAAGGGCCAATAATTTGGTACCTTAAAATACCAGTGAAAACATTTAATTTCTGAGCATACTGTGTGCATGTCGAATACTTAAATTTTGCCGAGCACAATTTCTCTGGATTTTTCTTTGTGCAATAAAAAAGTTGACTTGTCGGTAAATAAAATGTATTTAAAAAAGTTTTCATTTTCACTGCTGATTCGTTATACATTCGCAAAACTATAATAATTAAAAAAAAGTAACAAAATTTTGCTTTTATTGTAACAAGTAACGAATATGTTTGTCTATCTTGATGCTTATTATACACACGGAAAAAAATGTGACTAGAAAATTTTACTACAATGTTGTAGTAGTAGACTTGTAGAAAAATACTTAACAATTTGTAGAAAATTTTACTACAATTTATAGTTAAAAACTATTAATTATTGTAGCAATTGAATTGTCGAATAAAATGCTACAACAATAGGAAAGAAGTCCACAATGTTTAGTATATTTTACTATTGTTTGTAGAAGTAGAAATTTATTACAATTATCGTAATTACTACTACTAACTTCTGTAAAAATTTGTACAAATATTAATAATTATCTCTACAAAAAATAGTAATTTTCTCTACAAAAAATAGTAATACTTTACATCCCTTCTTATAATAAACATTCAATTTTGTTAAAAAATATTCTACAATATTGTATAAATTCTTAGTCATGTGAACAAAACAAAATTCTGCTATTGGCCAACGTTTTCTGACGTCGATCATGAACGGCCAGACAGCAGTAGCCGTTCGCCATGTTCACATAACAAAGCATGGTACATATACGAGTACCTATAACACATTATTATATTATAAGCACCGATGCGTTTGAGAAAATTTTAATAATAAATTCTATTAGTGGTAAGTACATTTAATATTGTTTCTGAATAATTTACCTTTAGATAACTAATTTAAATAACCTTAGTAGATTATTTTAAAAAAATAGTTGTGGCCAACGATCGAATGTTGTGCCCAACGATCGAATTTTGTGCCAAATTCAATGATATTTTTTTGTCTTAATTGTGACATACCTACTTTTTCATTTTTGTTAGTTATCTGACTTAGTCATTTAATATCCAAATCAGTGCAAAGGTGATAAATATCCCCGTTTTAAGGGTATGAACAGTTCAATTGGTATTAATTTTTATTTCATATTTTTCAGGTTCAGAAAAGCCAACTGAGACTGAGGGCGCTATTATTACTGTTATTTATTATATAATGTAATTAAGAATTTGTATCTTTTATATTAAAACAACAAGTATTACGAATTAAAAATCAGATGCCATCACCACATCTTAGCCAAATTCATATGGGACCACCCCTGAGGTACCCCCTTACTAACAAAAAAAATCGTATAAATCGGACAAGGTGGTAAAGCATTATCTCTAAACATACATAAAAAATGAAGAGTTTGAGGATTTTCTCATTATTCCAATTATTAGATTTTGACCAAATTTATATGGGACCACCACTAAAGTAGCCCCTTTCTAACAAAAAAAGAATTATTGAAATCGGACACCGTGTTAAAAAATTATCGCTGAACATACATAAAAAATGAAGAGTTTGAGGATTTTCTCATGGACCCAATTATTAGATTTTGACTAAATTTATATGGGACCACCCCTGAAATACCCCCTTTCTAACAAAAAAAAGAATCATTGAAATCGGACACCGTGTTAAAGAATAATCGCTGAACATACATAAAAAAAAAAAAAAAAAATATCGCGACGAATTGATAACCTCCTCCTTTTTTGAAGTCGGTTAATAAATTGAATATTTTATTAAGGAACATTTTTTTCTAGGTTATAATTATAATAATTATGGAATACTACTACAAATTTTATTAAAATTTACTACAATTTGTATGAATTTTTACTATTTATTGTGTAAAATTTTCGTATTTATTTTCATAAAACGCAATACATTTTTAATATAAATTCATACAATGAATAGCAAAAATTATAACAATTTGTAGAACAATTCTTATGATGCATTTGGATATTTTTACTAAATATTGTAGATAATAACTCTACAATACATTCTCCACAAATATTTGGAAATTTTTACTACAAATTGTCCCTGTCCCTATATGTACTATTTAGTCCCTGTCCCTATATGTACTATTTATTGTAGAGAAAAAATCTACAATTGTAGAAATTTGTTCTACAATTTTTTTTCCGTGCATGTTAACCGATTTGATGACGAAGCTCTCCGACGTTTTACAATGGCCTGCATTTAATAGAGATCGACGTACTTACACCGTATGGCTCGTATAATTTTTTACAAACCTGTATATTCTCAACATATCTTCCTAATATACCAAGACCTTTATATAAAGTTAGCTATTTTTGTTGCGTCAAAATCTCGAGAATATTTTAATGACAATTTGATGAGACATAATTTTGGCTTTATCGGATTAGAGCCCGAAAGCTTAAGCTCGAGGTTTTTAATCCTGTAATTATTATTGCCAAAATAATATCGAATCAAATTGTGTAGTATTTGAGAAATTTAGCCACAACAAAAATAACAAAATATTAATCAAGGTCATGTTATATTTGAGACTACTATTTTACTAGACCAAATATTGACTATTTCTCTAGAGAAATAGTCGGTGATATTTGGTAATATACCAAGACCTTGATAATAGTCAGCTATTTTTGTTGAATCTAAAGTTCAAGAATATTTTAATATCAATTTGATGAAACATAATTTTAGGCATTAATAATCTGATCCCCTTTCCATTTCCATTTAAGATTTTAGGGATGGTGCCACCCCGCCTAGGGGGCTGCACGTGATTTTTTGCCAATTTTGTGTCCCACTCGAAAACAAAATCGACGGGTCTGTGCGTTTTTACAAAAAATCTGATGTGTCCAACACATGACTTTCCTATCTAGTTATTACGGGCTTTTTTCGGTTATTTTGTACAACCTATTGTAGCACCTCTGTAAATATTTAGAGGTTAACTTAATATACACATTTTCCACATACATCTAACCCGAAAATTCTG